TTCTCTTCCCAGCTCAAAGCCCCACGGTGGCAGATCCCCTCCAGCAAGCCTACGCAGGCATGCAGCACTATGCAGGTCTCAAACTTTGCTTTGCGCTTCCCTTTCTCCCCTCTTTGCTCCTCACCTTTATTTTGGGGGGGGGGGGGGGGGGGGGGGCTTAACGTCACCTTGGGGTTCCAACCACAGGATGGGGGGCAGTGGTGCTTGGGCAGGGATTAAAGCGGTGAGCGCGGGGCGCCGTACCCTGGCGGCAGCTCCGGGGCGCCGGTGGGGGTGACGCGGGTGCAGAGCGCCGGCCCCTCGTCCCCAGCGACACGGCTGCGCTCCCGCCACGGCCCCCCCGTGCCAATTTTGGTTGGAGGGAAGTGAGTTTTGATGCCCACGGGGCTGAGGGAACCCCGCTGGGGGGAGAGCTGGCGGCTGGACCTAGGAGAGGGGGGCGAGGTTTGGGCGGTGGTGGCGCGCCGGCTCGCTGCGGGATCCCGCCGACACGCCAGCCTCCTGGTGGGGATGGCCACGGAGGCACCGAGACATCCAAAATCCGCGGGTGCTGCTGGCGTGGCTGAATCTGCTGGCCAAGGAGGTGGGGCTGCAGGGAGAAGGGACTCGGAGCCCCCTGCAGAAGTGTGGCGAGCCTGGCAGCTGTTCAGTTAGGACGGCTAACAGCAATTTTCAGATTTTCGGCAGAAAATCCAGTTTCGGACCCCTAATTGTTGGGTTTCTTCCAACTCAGAGCGCCGCCTTTCCAAAACCTCGGGGCCGTATTGCTGCTGCCACCCAACGTCCCTCCTGGCAGAGCCGTTCCCGCATCCCGGGAGGGCTGGGATGGGCAGAGCTGGCAGCCCTGGGGCAGGAGAGGCTCCTCTGGCTGTGTGGCTGCAGTGGGGGGGGGCGGGGGGGAGCGGGGGACACATCCCCCCAGCCCTTGGCGGGGCTGGGGCGGACGCCGGGGTCTCAGCTCTGCCTTTCTCTCTTCCAGCAGCGTACCCCACCGCCTACGCGCCCATCAGCCAAGCCTTCCCCCAGCAAGCGCCCATCATCCCGCAGCAGCAGCGAGAAGGTGAGGGGGTTTTTTTGGTTGTTTTTTTTTTTTTTTGTTTGTTTGGTTGGGTTTTTTTGGGAGGGGTTTTGCTCCGCCCCCCATCACCACCCCTCCCCGGGGTGCCCCCCGCCTCGTGGCTGACGTACGCTTGTCCTTTGTGTGTCACCCAGGTCCCGAAGGCTGTAACCTGTTTATTTATCACCTGCCCCAGGAGTTCGGGGATGCGGAGCTCACGCAGATGTTCTTGCCTTTCGGCAATGTCATCTCCGCCAAAGTCTTTGTGGACCGCGCCACCAACCAGAGTAAATGCTTTGGTAAGTCCTGGGGTGCAGCTCTCCCCGACGTCCCCACCTCAGGGGTCCGGCTTGGGCAGCACCCACGGGTGACCAAAGCCTCACAGGTGACCAAAGCCTCACGGCTGCCTGTCCCGAGGCCGCCGGGCAGTTTTTTTGTCCCGTACTGTGCCGGGACAGCAGGACACGACCCAGCTGCTGTCCCCCGTGTCCTGCGCCCGCCTGCTCGCCGCTGCCCTGCAGACCTGTCACCACACCGTCCCCGTAGCCTGTGTCACCCTGGTGTCCCCACAGCCCCTGTCGCCCCACCTCCGGAGGCCCCGGCACCTCGGTGCCTTTGCAAAAGCCCCGTCACCCCCACGTCCCCTGAGCGCATCGCTCCGGTGCCCCGCACGCACCCCCATCCCCTCGGCGTCCCTGCAGCCCCCGTCGCTCTGTCACCCCGCTGTCCCCACGGATCCCATCGCCTTAATGGCCCCACAGACCCTGCCGGTGTCCCCGTGGACCCTTCCGGGGTCTCTGTGGACCCTCTGACGACCCCCCCCTGCGTCCCGCGGACCCCGGTGTCCCCCGCGATGCCACCAGCCCATCGCCCCGCGCCCCGGGGCGGCACCGTCCCCCCCGTCCCCCCCACCGTCCCCCCTCTCCCAGCCCCAGCCACCTGGGGGGGCCCAGCGGGGTCTCCACGTCTCGGTTAGAGCGGAGCGGCAGCCGGCGGCCTGTGCCGTGACCCAAACTCCTCCCTCGCCCCCCTCCCTCGCCCCCAGGTTTCGTCAGTTTTGACAATCCGACGAGCGCTCAGGCAGCCATTCAGGCCATGAACGGCTTCCAGATCGGCATGAAGAGGCTAAAAGTCCAGCTAAAGCGGCCGAAAGACGCCAACAGACCCTACTGACCCCTGCTCACCCTGGCCCTGCGGCGAGGTACGGGGTTGGGGGGGGGCCTGGCCCCGCCGCCCCCCCTGCAGCACCCCGGGGGGCGCAGCCAGCGGGGCTCGGCTCACCCAAAGCGTCGCTTTTTTCCCCCAAAAGCGGCCCGGGGTGTGGGCGGGGGGGGGCGCGGCTGCAGGTGTCTTTCAAACAGGGATTTGGGTCCCTCTCGCCGTCCGTCCGTCCGTCTGTCCGTCCTCCCCTCCAGCCCCCGGCCCGCGGGCTCACGGCCCCTTCGGTGTTTTGCAGGTCGGGCGTCCCGCGGTGTCTGACGACTTTCCCCTTCCCCAAGTGCAGTATCCAAACCCGTAACTCTTTCTTTGCAACACATCCCGGAGGAGGAAGAGGAGGAGGAAGAGGAGGAAGCGATGGAGAAAACGGCGAAGAAGAGAGCCATTCTGGTCGTAGCTTTTCTATTCTTTTTTTGAATTTTTTTTTTTTTTTTTTTTTTTTTTTTTTTTTTTTTTCCTCAAACCAATCTTGTTTGTTACTTAACGGGAACGAGAGCGTGAGGAAGACAAGGAAGGAGGAGAGCGATGCGACGCTGGGGCTGCGGTTCGCCGCCGGCCGCTCGCTGGGACTCACCAAATCCCTCGCCGGGAGAAAGGGCGACGGCCCCGGGCAGCCGGGATACGATCTACCTTTGGTTTTGTTTTTTATTTTTTTTTTTGTTTGTTTGTTTTTTTAGTTTATTTTTTTTTTTTAAAGCACTCATTTGCTGCTACCGATTTCCCAGGAGAAACGAGGAAAAGAGGCTCCAAATGGATTCTTAAACCAAAGCTGGTGGGACGGGACCAGCCTCGGGCGCTTCACCTGGAGGATGCTTGTTTGGAAAAAAGAAAAAGGGCAAGATTTTCTTTTTCCCCATGTCGGGAAAAAAAAAAAAAAAAAAAAAGGATCAAAGGATGTTGGACTTATAGAAGATATATATAAATAAGTATATATATATATATATCCCATGGAGCAGGGCGGCGGGACACACGCTTCCCCCTGCTTGTCACTGGCACAGGGACATAAGATTACTTGTTTCAGAGTCATATCATTCCTTAGAGTTTAGGGACCAAAGGACTATTGCTTTTTTTAAATATATCTATAAATAAATTAATTTAAAAAAAAACAAAACACACAAAAAAACAAAAAATGGGAAAGAAGAAGAAGAAAAAAAAAAAAAAAACAACCAACCAACCAACCAACCAGAAATTAAGAAGGTTGAGAAAAACCTCGGGCGTTAAGAGCTGCGAGTGTTTCCTAGAGGGCTCAGTGTCGGGGGGGCCGAGTCGGGGGGCTCAAGGGCTTGGTTTTGGGGGGCCAATTGGTGGCTGGGGCTGGGGGGATGCGGGGGGGGCTGGGGGGGGGCGCTGTGGTGGCTCCCCCAGCCCCGTGGCCCAGGCGGGAGCCGGCGGTGGGGGGGTCAGGCTGGTCGAAAAAGCCCCTCGGTTGCCTCCGGGAGAGGGTGAAGCGATGCGGTTCTTTGCGTTTTCGGGTGGCTTTTGGGGATCTTGGGGGCGGGGGGGGGGGGGGTGGGGGTGGTTTTTTTTCAGCCAAAACAGAAAATTTAAAAAAAATATAAAAAAAATAAAAAAAAATAAAAACAAACAAAACAAAACAACAGCAACACACAAACAAGAAAAATGTGAGGTTTCGGCAGAAACGAAGCGAAGCGAAATAAACTTATTTTGTCAAAATCGTCACCTTGGTTGGTTCTTTGGAGCAATCGCTGCCGCGTCCCGCTGCCCCCGCTCCCCCCCCGCCCCCCCGGGGAGCCCTTTTTGGCCAGGGCTGAAGCCTCCGCCGGGAGCTCGGTGAAGCTGGGAGAGGGGCGCCGGGCCTCTCTTTTCGTTTGCTTTTTTTGTTTTAGGAATTGCCATTTCCCAGAGCAATTCGCCCCGCTGCGGTTTTGCCGCCCCGTCCCAGCGCCGGGTGGCGTGTCCCTCCCGCCGTCCCCTGACGGTGGGAACGGGGCTCGGTTTGTCGTTGGCTCAAGGGGAAGGTGGAGGCCGGATATTTTTTTACGTGGATTCCTCACTTCCTTCACCGCTCCCGGCTGCGAACAACACGCGAAGGGTTGGTTTGAAGGTTTTTATTATTTTAAATCCCTCGGAGCTTCGATCCCTCGGCGCGGGGTCCCCGCGTGGCTTCGGGCCGATGCCGTCTAAGGGCTGATATTTTACTGCCGTGGCCTCGTGCTGCCGTGACCGACCGCGAGGGCTCCGGGACCGTGGGGGGAGCCCCGGGTACCTCCGCCAGCCCCCCCGCCACCCCCCGGCGGTGACCCCTGGAAGCTTTCGGGGCTTCTCCGATGGGTTTTTCCTTGGGGTTGGGGCGTAGCAGGATGCAGCAGCCCCGATGCTGTATCCCCCCCCTGTAATTACTGGGACCAGCTCGAGCTGCAGCGAAGCGCCGGCCCTGGGAAATCTTTTTCCTTCGGCTCTGCCCTCCCGGCCCCTCGATGGGGTCCCACCCCCGGGGCACAGCCCCCCCCCCCCCCCCCCGCGGCGTGGGCCCTGCTCCTTCGCAGGATCCCTTGGCCACCGTGTGCCAGCGGTGGGATTCCCTCCCCGCAGCCCCATCCCTTTCCCAAAGCCCCATCAATTCCCTGCCACCCTTCCCCTCTGCTCCCATCCCTTCCCCACCGCCCCATCCGCTCCCCGCTCCCCCTGGCTGTTTAAATACTTTAACCACACTGACACAGATATTCCTTTTCTCTTTTTTTTTTTCTTTTCCGGTGTTTTTTGGGTTTGTTTCGTCTTTTTGTTCGGTTGGTTGGTTGTTTTTTTTTTTTGTTTGTTTTTTTGTTTTTGTTTTTGCTTCGGTTTCTCATCGTCGATAAAAACGCCGTCGCTGCCAACGCCAGGAGGGGCGGCCACCGGCCCCGCCAGCCCCCGCAGCTCCTTCTTCCACGCTGCCACGGGGTGGGGGACACTGGGGGGACGGGACGGGGAGGGGACAAGGGACAGCTAAACCCGCCTGGTGCCCACTGGATGCTTGACGCCTATGTACAGGGTGGGGCCGCCGGCGTGGGCCCCCCGTCTCTGCCCCACCCGGGAGCCTCCAAACCCACTCGTCCTTCACCCTGGGGGCTTCGCTCGGCGCCCGGGGGTGGGGTGGGGGGGGGGGGGGGGCCCGGGGGAGGGGTCCCCGCTGCCGCTCAGTTTGTGTACACCTGAGTCCCGATCACACGCATTATCTCCTTCTGGATTTTGGGGTCCTGAGTATTGATATTGGCGTCTCCCACTTGGCCGTCTTCGTACCTGGAAGGGGAGAAGAGAGACGGGGTGAGGTGGGGAAGGGGGGGGGGGGTCCCGGGGGTGTCCCAGGGGTGCTGGCAGGGCGGGACCGGCCCGGGACTCACACAAAGAAGAAGCGGGTGCAGACGTGATCCGAGACGGGGCAGACCCAGATGTTGCCGTGTTTCTGCAGGTCCTTGGAGGTGATGACTGCCGGGGGAAGGGGCTGTCGGCTGAGGGACGGGGGGGTCCCCGCTGGGCACAGCCCACGGGCGCGTTGGGGACCCTCCCTCCCTCCTCCACCCCCCCCCCCCCCCCCGGTCAGGCAGGGACGTGGGTGCTGCCTGTCCCCTGCTGTCCTGTGTGTGTGTGTGTGTGTGTGTATGTGTGTGTCCCCCCCCCCCCCGCCGTTTCCCTGTGGCGTCCCCCCACCTTCGCAAAGCGCGATGCAGTTCAGGTTGCGGCTCTGAAGGAAGCGGGACTGGATGGAGCGGGTCTGCGGGGAGAGCAGCCGGCGTTACCCACCCCCGGCCCCAGCACCCAGGGGTGCCCTGTCCCCGTCCTCCCACGGTGTCCCCGCTCCCGTCACCTGAGGGATGGTGTTCATCCGGTTGTACCTCTGCACCAGCTCATCCTTCGAAGGCATCCGGTGCTGCCCTTTCCCCATCCCTGCGGAGAAGCGAGGCGGTGGCCGTCACTCCCGGGGCGGGGAGCAGCCCCGGGGCGACGCGGGGACACATGCCACAGACAGGGACAGCTACGGTGGGTGCTCCCACCCGGCTGCCAAACCCGGGGACCCCCCCCCCCCCAAAAAGCGGGCTCAGCAGCTTTTGGAGCCTAGAAAACGTGGGGGTTTTTAATCCTGCGGCGCCTTGGGAAGCCGCGGTCTGGCTGGGAAGAGGCTGGTGCTGGTGGGAAGGACGCGGGACGCTGCCCGCTCCTCCTCCTCCTCCTCCTCCTCCTCCTCCTCCGGTTCTGAACATCCCGGGCCCATGCAGGGAGCGGGGGTGGGAGCGCAGGCAGGACTGGGCAGCACAGGCAGCCTCTTACCTGAGTATCCAAAGGAAATACTGGAGATGGGGCTCAGATAGATGCCCTTGCCATAGGCTGCTCCATGCAGCTTGCAGGAAAACACCAGGGTGAGCGCGGCGGGGTCACCCCGACACCTCGGGCGCGGTGGCAGCACGTCTCCAGCTGCCTGTCCCCCCTCCCTGCCTGCCTGCCTGCCTGCCTGCCCCCCCCTGCCCACCCCGGGGAGGGCCGTGGGGCGCGGGGGAGCTTTACCTGCAGTTTGGTGTAGGAAGCGTTGACCAGCCCGTTGCGGAGGATGGAGTGCCAGTTCTCAATGTGAGAGCCGCTGGGAGAAAAAACAAAAAACAAAACAAAACAAAACAACCCTGTGTCAGCCCCACGGCAGCTGATTCCCGGGGCGGGGGGGAGTTCCCACCATCCCTCCCCCCCCCCCCCCCCCCCCGAAACTCCCCCCTCAGCAGCTCACTGGAAAGCGAAGGTGCTGCCGTAGAGTTTCTTGGCAGTGCGGAACCGGGCTTCCTTGGCGGGGGGGCTGCTGAGCAGGAGGAACTGGTGGGAGGTGTGCATGAACTTCAGCTGCTACCCGGGGAAAGGGAAGAGCAAAGGCAGCGCCGGCGGGGAGAGAGGACAGACAGACAGACAGACAGACAGACAGACAGACAGACAGACAGACAGAGATCATGCCCGGCAGCCGGAGCCCACGTCCAGCCCAGCCCTGCTTTGGTCACCCCCAGCTTGCCGGGAGGGCGGGTGACATCCCCCCCATCTCTTGTCCCACGTCAAATACCCTCCACCCTACAACCCCATATCCTGCCCGCCACCTCCCACAGGCTGCACCCCCCACCCCAAAGGCTGCACCCCACATCCCAGCCCCCTAGATCACCCGCCCCATATCCTTCCATCCCTCGTCCCTCACCCCATGCCCCACATCCTGCATCCCACCCCCTCCACCCCGCACGCCTCGCGTCGCGGATCCTGCGGCCCACCTTCCACGCCCGACGTCCCCCATCCCACATCCCGCATCCCAATCCCATACCCCACGTCCTGCATCCCATCTCCTCCATCCCACCTCCCGCATCCCACGCCCCACAACCCCCGTGTCCTGCGTCCCAGAGCCTCCATCCCACATCCCACGTTCCGTACCCTCCATCCCGCGTGCCGCACCCGCGCCCCGCCAGGCCCCTTACCCTGCTGAGGGGCAGCTTGACGATGTGGGATCTGTTGCTGGAAATGATCCTTGGGAAGGGGAGGAGGAAGAGGAGGAAGAGAAGGATCAGACAGGGTGGTCTCACGCCCCCCTGGGAGCAAGGCCAAGGCAGGATCCCTGCCAGAACCCACCCTGAGGCCGGTGGATAGTTGCGACCCCCCCAGAAGAAAGGGGCTGAGGGGGCCACGCTGGGGATGCCTGCCTGCCCCCCACTCCAGCCCCTGTCCTGGGTGACATGGGGCAGCAGGACGGGGCCGCAGCACCCTCGGCCTTACCACTGCAGGAGGGGATGGGCCAGGGGGTCCAGCTTGTCCATCTGCTTCTTGATCTCCAGGTAGGACCCCTGGCAGAGGAGAGAGGGGGTGCAGGTGGGTCCCCCCGCACCCACCCAACTGCGGGCGGCTGGAGATCGGCCCAAAAATGCCACCCCCCCCCCCCCCCAGGTGAAGGATCCTGCACGGGGCGGGTCTCACATGGGTGGTGTGGGGCCACGGCGGCGGTGTACCTGGGTCATCTCCCGGATGGACATCACGCTGTCCAGGGCCTTCTGCAGCCGTTCGTAGTTCTTCTTCTACAGGTGGGGCAGGGGAGAGGTGGCCACCAGAGGGGTCCTTGGGGGTCCCCCGGCCCCGTCGCCCCCCCGGCCCGGAGGAGCGCTGCTCCCCCGGCGCTTACCTTTGGGTTGAAGGCAAGTGTTTTGGGGTCGTTGGGGTCCACCACGGAAGGGTAAGGCTCGAAGATGATGCTCTTGCGCGGGGACTCCAGGGCCGCACGGCACATGGCCACCAGCAGGTCCACCACCTTGGGGACAGGGCGTGGGGTGAAGGGACCAGCACCCCGAGGCGACGGCGCGGCCACCCGCCGCGCGTACCCGTACCTCGGCGCCCGTGGCCACCTCCTCCGCCGCGCCCGACATGACGCCCAGGGTGTAGAAGGAGAAGACGCAGAGCTCGCGGGTGCACACCGCCGGCTGCGGAGGGGACAGGAGCCGTGGGGTGGGGTCGGGGAGGGTGACACCGGGGGGGACAGCCCGCACCCCGCCCGGCCCCCGGCCCCTCACCTTGAGCATGGAGCCGTTCTGGAAGACGTGCTGCTCGTCGCACACCACGCAGTACTCGTTGAGCGTCGGGATGCGCTGCTCCGCGTACTTCATGATCTGAGGGGGAGGATGGTGGGAGTCAGACACCCCCTCCCCCCCCCCTCTCCCCACCCCGGGGTGGCCACGGTGCTCGGGAGGAGGCTCCGGGCAGGGGGGTGGGGATGAGTGGGCCTGTGGGGCAGCGGGACGGGGCTGGGACGGAGGCAGGACACTCACCTGGACGAGGAAGCCGTACTCCAGCGTCGGGACATTCTTGCAGTGGCCGCCGACCTGCGACGGAGCCGGAGCGGAGCCAGCTGCGTTACCCCCTTTCCCCCACGCACCCCCGCTTCTGCACGGCACCCGCAGCCACCCCCCCCACACACACCTGACACCCCCCTGGCACAGCGGGACCCCCCGACATGCCAACACCCTCCCCGGGTGGGACGTGGCACCAAGAGGGGAGCAAAACGCTGCCGGATCCCCACGGCTGGCGTCCCGGCTCGCCCCTGAGCACCCAAGGGTGCTGGGGAGAAGGCGCCAGGCAGAAACCCTGCGGGGGGCATCCCCCAACCCAAGGAGGGGGGGGTGGGGTGGGTGTGTGTCCCACCCACCCCACAACAAGTGGTCCAACCCCGGAACAGCGCCAGGAATCCGGGAAGGGCAAGGAGAGGAAAGCAAACCCCGAGGCGGGGAGGCACCCACCAGGATGTTGAAGGGGGCGACACCTGCCTGGGTGCTGGTGGGGGGGTAGCCAAAAACCTCCACCTTGGGGTTCTTCACCGTGCAGGAGACGGAGCGGTTCATCAGGCGGTTGACGCGAGGCTCGGGGATGCCCAGTTTGCCCTTGAGCACCGAATCTTGGATGACGGGGAAGCTGGGAGACCTGCAGGCACAGAATCGCCCTGAGCTCCCCGGTTCGTCACCGTCCCTTCCTCCTCCGTCACCCGGTTCACCCTTCGGCCGTTTTTTGGGAGCACCCTCCACCTCCTCCAGCGCTGGTAGGGAGAAGCAGCGTCCGCGGGGGGCGAGTGGGGAAACTGAGGCACGGTGCCAGGCGAGGGCAAAGAGTTTTGGTGCCTTGGGCACACCGTCGGCGTCTTACTTGGGGATGGGGGAGAAGATGCTGAGGCCAGCACGGAACTTCTTGATGGTGCCGCTCGTCTTGAACCAACTGTGCCGCTTCTCCTGCTGGGTCTTCAGGAAATCGTTGCTGAGATGTTTCCATTGCTGGGAAGTGAACATGCCCAGGATCCTGGCAGAGAGGTGGGACGGGTGTCCGAGCGGGGCATCAGCACCCACGGGTGCTTCGGTGCCCACTGAGCCCGGTGCTTGGGTGGCCCAAGCCACCCAGCTCCTCTTCCCCACCGAAAGCCGGCGGTGAGCCCCTCATGGGGCTTTGTGGCAGATAAAAGGTGTTGGCGTGGGGACATGTGGCACCTGGCTGGGTTTAGGGCAAAACGGTGACGCCTTGGGCCACCCCACCCACCACCCTTGGGTGCCCGCTGTGGTTCGGCTCTTACTTCTTCAGCTGCAGACCCAGCCCGAAGCCCTCCTTGTTGGACGGCTGGAAAACCTCGATGGACGGTTCTGCGGGGAGAAAGAGGAGGAGAAGCCACGGGTGCCACCGCCGTGCCCATCCCGAGGGCCCGTGGGGACACCGCGTCCTGCCCGTCCCCACTCACCGGGGCCATCGAGGTACTGGGAGAGGGAGAAGCGCAGGCGGAGGACGATGGGCTCCGCCCGCAGCACCTTCCACGCCGTTGCCACCTCCTCCTGCCGAGGGAGAGCCGCCGTTTGGCACAGCCGCGGGGCCCCTGAGCCGGGGAGGGAAATTTGGGGACCCCCCCACCCCTCCCCGGGTGCACATCCCCACCCTCCCCGTGCCAGCGCCGCTGGGGGCACCGTGGGGACTCACATCGAGGAAGCTGATGTTCACGTGGAGGTCAATATCCACGTCATCGATGGTCCCGTACTCCCTGTGAAGACATGTGGGGATGGGGGGGGACGGGGGGGGGACACACACACACGAGGTGAGGCCGGCACGGTGGCGGAACTGCTGCCCGGTGCCCACCGCACTGAGGAGGGCAGGCTCGAGGGGACGGTGAGGGGCACGTGGGGGTCCCTGTGTATCAAGTGCGTGCACCCCAGAGACCGGGATGGCACGGCCGGGTGCTCGGGGCATGGCAGGGTTTTGGGGACGGCACAGCTGGGTGCCCCAGGGGTGCCACGGCCGGGTACCCTGGCAGTGGCACAGCTGGGTGCCCCAGGGGTGCCACGGCCGGGTGCGGGGGCTGGCGCACCCACCTGACGGCCACGGCATTCTCGCTGTAGATCTCCTTCACGGCTTCGATGTCGGCGTCCAGCTGCGGGTGACGGTACAGGTCGGCGGCACAGGTCCCCTGCGGCACAGCACCCCGAGGCACCCTCAGAGCCAGAGCCCCCCCGGCAGCCCCACGCTCGGGGTTGGGCTCAGGTTGGGGGGCCCCAATCCCTCCCCCCCCCCCCCGCCATGGCACCCATGCGACCCAGCACCCGTGGGCACCCAGCACCCGTGGGCACCCAGCACCCGCGGCGCTTACCTGGACGCCATAGAGGAACTCCTCGGATTCATTGTCCCCGTCGGAGTCATCGTCCGTCCAGTACTGGCCCTTGAGGTCCTGGGGGGCAGAGGGTTGGGGGGGGGGGGGCAGCAGATTAGGGGGGGCAGAAAGTTGGGGGGGGCACTGGGGATGAGGGGGAGAGGAGGTGGCGGGAGAGGGTCAGGGGTAGCAGGTTATTGGGGGCGTGGATTGAGGAGAGTGGGTTGGGGGGAGCAGGTTAGGGGGGAGCGAATGATGGGGGAGCAGGCTGGGGGGGAGCGGGTTGTGGGGAGCAGGTTTTGGGGGCAGCATGTTGGAGGGCAGCGGTTTGGGGGTGCAGGTTGTGGGGAGTGGGTCGGGGGAATGATTTGAGGGGAGCAGTTTGGGGAGGAGCGGGATTGAGGAAGCAGGATGGGGGGGGCAGCAGGTTGGGGGAGTGGGATGGGGGCAGCGGGATGGGGGGGAACAGTTTGGGGGGCAGGGGGCTGGGGGGAAGCGGGTGGGTGGGAGCGGGACGGGGGGGGGGACAGTAGGATGGGAGGAGCAATTTGAGGGGCAGAAGGATGGGAGCGGTTTGGGGGGGGCAGCAGGATGGGGGGGCAGAAGGATGGAGGAGCTGGTTGGGGTGGGGGGGGGAGCAGATTAGGGGGGAGCAGGTTGGGGACAGCAAGATGGGGGGGGAGCGGGGAGGGGCAGCAGGATGGGGACCGGGGGGGGGGGGGGGTCCGTGCGCGGAGCCGCCGGTGTGGGCCCGGCCGGTGGCGAGGGGGGGTCCTCCCCTATCAGCCGCGTCCCCCTCCCACGCCGCAGGACACGGGGGGGGACACCACGGGGACATTCGGGGACGCTGGGGCCCGGCGCCGCCCCCCCCCCCCCCCCCCCCCTTCCTCGCAGGCCCCGTCCCCCGGGCCCCCCATCCCCGAGGCCTGCTCTCCCTGCCGAGCCGTGTCGGGGTCTGTCCCCGTCCCCGTCCCCGTCCCCCCCCCACCACCACGTCCCCCCCCGGTCGGTGGGACCCCCCCCCCCCCCCTCACCATCTCAGCGGCGGCCGGCCGGGCCTGCCACCGCCTCCATGCTGCCGGGCGGGCGGGCGGCCATCGGGCCTTGACGTCAGGCCCCAACCGCGGGCCCGGGCGCCACCGCCGTCACCCGGCAACGCGGCCGCTGACGTCACCCGTGGGGACCCCCCCCCCACCCCGTCACCCCTGACACCCCCAGTACCCCCCGGCAGGGCGCCGCGGCCCGCCATGGCAGCGATCCACGGGGATGCTGAGGGTCCCCGCTACAGGGTCCCCGGTGGCTCCAATTTGGGGTCCCCGCAGTCCCCAGCACAAGGTCCCCCATGTTGGGTCCCCCCCAGTGTCCTCACAGCCCAGTACAGGGGCCCCAGTACGGTGTCCCCGTGGCCCTGGCACAGGGCGGCCACCTTGGGTCCCCACACGGTGTCCCCGCAGCCCAGGGCAGGGTCCCCAGTGTCCCCAGCACAGCAGAGCCCCCGTGGCCCCAGCACGGGGGGGGGGACACACACCCTGGGTCCCCACACGGCCCGCACGGTGTCCCCGCAGCCCGGCACGCGGCCTGCATGGCAGCTCCCTGCGCCAGCGCCGTGTCCCCCGTGTCCCCACGGTCCCGGCGCGGAGCAGCCGTGACGGGTGCCCCGCGCCCCGGGCCCACGGCCCCGTGTTGGGTCCCCACATCGCTGGCACGCGCTCCCAGCAGGGTGCCCCCCCCGTGTCCCCAGAACAGCGTCGCCCACACGCCCGCTGCAGAGAGTCCATCTTTGCTCCCCAAAACCCCCAGGGGTGTGAGTTTAAGGCTCAGGACCCTCCAACACCCCCAAGAACGCCCAGCGCCACCGCCCTCCTCGGGAAGCGGGGGGGGGGGGGTCGACCCCTGGGGCCCACCAGCGCCCCAGAGCGGTTGGGTGGGTGTAGGGAGTTTGAGGGAGGCGCGGCGCCTTTAAGAAGAGCGGAACGAGGCGCGGCGCCTTTAAGAGGGGCGAGGCGGGGCGCGGATCGTTTAAAGGCGGTGGCCACCCTCCGGTCGCGTGCGCGGCGGTTGCGCCGCCGCCCCATTGGCCGGCGGGGGCGTTGTGAGGGGCGGGGTTCGCGTCACATCACCTTCGCGCGCCTTGTGCGTCCGCCGGGGAAAGGAGTCCCGGTGCCCCGCCTCCTTTCTTCCCCCCCTCCCCTTGGCAGGGCGAGCGGCGGAGGGATCCGCCGGGGGGGGGGTGAGGCGCGAGGGGGGCGGTGCTGCGGCCGGCCGGGATCACCTTGGCGGGGCGGCGGGGCGGCGCGCAGAGCAGCGGCGGCTCTCGGAGGGGACGGGCTGGGGCTCACGTTGGGCGGCGGCGGTAGCGGTAGCAGCAGCGACAGGTAACGGCGGGCGGCGGTGCTCGCCGCCATCACCGGCGAGGGTCTCCCTTAGGCGGCGGTTAACGGGCGGGGGGGGGGGGGGGCTGAGGGAGGAGGAGGCGGGGGGTGGGGTGTCGGTCCGTGAGGGGGGTGGGGGGGGTGGGGGGGGAAGCGTGGCCCTCTCTCCGGTAACACGGAACCCCGGTTGCAACATGTCGCCCCGTTTCCTGATTGCTGGGGCTGGGCCGGAGGATGTCCTCCGGGAGGATGAGTCAGATGGAGACGGAGCGAAGCTCTTCGCCGCTCCCTTCCCCCCCCGCCTCGTGCTCTGAAGGGCATCAGCTTAAATCAGCGCACGGCTCGCTAAACTCGGCGGAATCCTGCAACCTCTTTATTCCCACACACCTCCCCCCCCCCCCCCCCCCCCGCCCCAGGAAGAGAAGGCCCCTTCTGAATTAATCTTCTCCCGTAATTATGCCTGCCTAAACACATCCGATTGATTTGGACGGTCCCTTGAACTGTGAAAACCTTTGAAACGTGTTTAAACCCTCTTTGCAGGACTAGCAGGGCATGAATAGTGCTTTTGTCGGCAGACAATTGCAGCCTCCCGACTGTCTCTTCAGATTAATAAAAGTAGACTGGCAATCTCTAAAAACCTGCTTTGTTCCGATAAGGCAAGTAGTTATCCGGGAGGCCCAGGTTAACAGAAATCAGTGTTTTGCGGAGGTTTTTGTGATGTTAATGTCTTAACTTACTGTCTGCTTCCCGCTCCTGTGAAGCGCTGCTGCTCATCGTGACTTTGGCATCAAGGTTGGATGACAAAGAGGTTTTTGGTTACCGGATACCTCCAGGGAAACTCGAGGGCTTGTTGTGAAACCAGGAGTGCTTAATTAAAAAAAAAAAAAAAAAAATCAGTCTTAAGCACATAATTTGATGCCCGACATCCCATTTATAAAGCAGAATTCGGGTTAGTTTAGAGGAGTTCGGTGGCCTGGTGGCTCACTGATGCTGCCAGCTCCTTTTCAGAGCCATCACCAGGTTATGGCAGGCCTCTCCTCTGCGAGCCACGTGTCTGAAGCGGGACTCTTGCCTCTGAAACCCTTCCGAGAAACTTCGCTTTCACTAACCAAGGAGCTCACAGAGGCTGGGCCACTGCTCCCAGCCCCTTGCTCGAGCAGCCTGCTTTTTTTTTTTTTTTTTTTTTTTTTTTTTTTTTCCCTTCCTACTTCTTTACCCACCCAAAGCCATACGTTTTATGAAAACCGTAATCTAGTGGAGTGATCCGACACGGGCCTTAATTCCATTTCCACGCACCGACTTGATAACTTAATTTGGTAGAAACAAAGCGTTTCCCAGGCTGGCCCGACCACGTGCTTGGCTTTTATCTCCCCCCTCCCCGGGGCAGACGGTGCTGAGCTGCTGTGCAGGGTGATGGATGGCACGTAGGGAATGGGGCTGCAGTACCACGGCCCTGCCGCCCGCAGCTGGGGATGCTGCAGAGGGATCTATACTTCTACCTGGAGTTCTATTTAAATGTAAAAAAAAAAAAAAAAAAACAAAAAAAAAAACCCCAACAACCAACCCCAAAACTTTTCAAATGTAAGAAAGGGGTTTTTTTACAGTTTCCTCAAAGGCACCTAGGTGGTTTCTGCTGGTGTGGGGCCAGGCTGAAAGGCTCCTTGTCTTCTCTCAGAGCATCATGTTGCAAGGTTCAGTCAGTAGGTGTGCCCACACTACAAATCCCCTCCAGATAAGTCTTTTTTTTTTTTGTCGCCAAATATCTGATGCTTTCCCTTAGTTGTGTTTTTTTTTTTTTTAATTTATTTTATTTTTTTTTTTTTTTAAGCCTCCTGTACGCTTTTGCCCTCCAGGGAGGGCAGGTTGGGCTAATCCATCAGCACACCGGGAAAGCGCCGCTATCTCCCTGTGTGCTGGCCTGACCTTCCCGGCCCTCCCATAACCCATTTGCCAAAAAAACGGAGATGTTGGTTTTCCCGCAGAGCTGTGGCTTGCTGCCCGGGGGGAGCATACGCCAGCCAGGAGCAGGTGGTGGCCTCTGGGGCCCGGACAGCTTTGCAGAAAAGAGGTGGCATTTTGGGGTGGCCATCTTGGGCTTGCGTAACGGCGCGACGCCTGCAACGGCCGCCCAGGGAAGAACGTGTTGTCCTCCTTCTCTGGAAGAGGGGGATGACAGCCTGTGTTTGCCGCAGAGCTGGATTTTTTTGTTGTTGAGTGCCTTTAGCTTCTGGAATGAATAAAGCTGATGTTTTTCTAGGCTTTTTTTGGGAATCCGAAGTCCTGGCTGGTTTCGTAACCCTGCACTTCTCCGATATAAGTTCTAACTCAAAATTATTTCTGCCTCTGGCCAGGGGCACTGGGCATGAGCAGCCTTGTTCTGGAGCGTCAGTGAGGTTGTGTAAGTGAGGCTGAGCAATAAAATCTGAATCGTCAACTACCCTGAGCCCTCCCCAGCTGCCTGTCTGCAACTTTTACAGGCAGTAAAACATCTTTGTCTGGCATGGCGGTGGTTAACACCCCTGCTGCCTGGGGATTGTCCCTTCAAGGCCTCTGCAGTTTTCACTTCCCTTCCTCATGGATAACAGCAAAGACTTGGCCCAGGGTGGGGATTGCTCCTGCCTCTTTTTTTCTCCCTCCCGGAGGGCAGATCCAGAGGTGCTGTGGATTTAGGGTTTCGGCCAACTGCAGGATGAGTTGGCTAGAGTTAGTCACCTCAATACTGAAAAACCGGTTGTCCTGACCTCAAAGGGCTCTTTCTAGAATAGTCAGGAGCTGGGGAATACCAGACATCTTCTGGATGCCCTGCCCGAAGCACAGGCAGCCCAAGTAATAAATTTGGGAACTTAATCGTTATTTCTTGAGGAAGGAATTCAGATTTATTCAGTGCTGGAAACATTCAGGCTTTGTGGGCTATTGCTTATCCCCCCCCCCCCCCCTTTCCTTGCTCAGCCGAAACTGAGTGCTCTGTGTCTTCAGGTGTCCTGGAAGCCCTTGCTCCTCTGATTGTTTTATAAAAGCAACTCTGGAGTAGTGGGAAATGCCAGACATTCCTCTTACATTTGTAAGACTGGTCCTTCCAGTAGAATTCAGTTGATGCTTTGTAAATACATGGTAATGGGAGGCAGGAGGAAGTACTGAAAAGTGAAGCTTGTTGGTAGCGGGGGCAGGGTGCTTTGGGCAGTTGGGTGTTTGGGATACTTTTTGGCTGCTGCGTTTCTGCTCTCCCCCCTGGACAAGGTCACGGTGTCTCTGATTAATTTTTCTGAGCTCACTGAACTGCTGGAAAAATCTTGTGAAGGTCTGGGACCTTAACTTTCCTTTATGTATTTATTAAGACTTCAGGGGGTTTAAAATTATATTTGCACATGACTTGAGTGGGTGGGGGATTTCCGTGAGATAGAGAGAACTCATCTGCCTATATTTAAAAACTTCCAAGTCATGTTCTGGGTGCAGCTTCCATCTCGGGATCCCGTTATTTCATATTCCTCTCATTCCCAGAAACTGCACAGACCTGCTCACCCGTGTTTGTGGAGGCAATTTCCCAGCAAAGACTTATATTTTTTTTGGCATCTAGAGAAGCTGGCGCTGCCCTGCAGGTGTCAGAGGATGCAGCAGCAAGTGTTAGAGGGCTAAAACACAATGTTTCAGGTCTGACCAGCGGGTTTTCCTATGATAATGGGACTTTGTTGGGCTTTTTATGTGGGCAGACCTTGTTGTACTGGCTCCGGTGAATCAGCAGCTTCTGGCAGGGCTGAGGGAAAGGAGACTTTGCCAGGACAAATTATGGTTTTCGCTGGCCTGATTCGTTTATGCCTCATGGGAGCGAGGCGATGGTGAGTCAGGGCTGCCTGCGAGAGGCTCTGCACGATCTGCACGTACGTGGGGAAGGTCTGTGGAGCAGAAGTGTCTGAGAGGAGGAGCATGGGCGCGAGCAGGGCCTCTGCGGCACTGGGCAGGCACATGGTGGGCTGGCAGGGGAGCTCCCTGCCTCTTCCTTAGAGGCATATTTCTTCATTCCGGGCAGCCCTGCTCGCTTTGACAAAGCTTTCGGGTTTATTAGTGCCTCTGTTTCAAAGCTGAATACACTGAGCTAGCTGGTGCATGCAGCTAACACCATTTTGCAATTTATTGTGGGGGGTTTTGTGTGTGTGGGGTTTTTTTTTTTTTTTGTCTTCTTGGGGCAGGCAGAACAAAACCCCTGCTCTATCCCTGCCTTTAGCTGAGCAGCAGTCCTGTGTTTCTAGGAGCGCCACATTTTAAAAGTGAAAGCAGCTTATGCTGAAAAAGCAGCCTGCTTTGAATATCCCCTGCGTGCCCAGGGGATGAAGTTTGAAGTCAAACCATACTTGAAGTCCAAACTAGTGATCTGCCCGTTCCCGTAGCCATTAGCTTATATCACTTTTACTGGAGGCTTTTTGAATGCTGACAATCTAGCCTGGGTGGGTGGAAGAGGACAAATGGCTTTTAGCCGCCACTGGTACTTGAGAAAATTATTGCAGTGCGGCCTGAGGTGCGCAGTGAGAAATGCCTGGGGGCACCAGCACTGCTGGGAAATGAGTGTCCTCCCATCCCAGTGGACAGTTAAGCTTCAGTTCAGCTTCCTCTCCGGATTGCAGTCTGTTCCTGCTGTTGTGGGGATGCTCTAGTCCTGTAGAAGCAAGCAGCCTTAGTTCAGAGAGGTTTTTTTATCCAAACTTTGAAAGAAAAGTAACCAGTTTTAAACCTTGTGGTGGTTTTCTGCTGCCCTGGATGAGGGAGAATGCAGAGGATGGGGGAGACCCACAGCACCTGCAGTTTGAAGAGGCACCTTGAGCATATTAAAGAAGTCTTTGGTCTTTTACATGTGTTCTGCCAAGGTGGTGTGTTTAATCAACTACAGCCTCGAAGGACGGGTTTAAGCTCAGGTGGACTTTGCTGTGATTAGGTGCTTCGCAGGAGAAGGTTGCCCGCGTAGGAGCGTATCTGCAGTCGCGCTAGCGCCGAGCTGCCCCGGTCCCCAGTTGCGATGGCAAACGCAGTCAAGGCCTGTAGGAGAAATGACTCGAGAGCTGGGAGGGAGGAGGCAGAATCTCTGCCTGTGCACTCAAGTGCTTGAATTTTGTTGCGTTGTGTAGCTCCAAGGGAAGACTGGCAATGAAGAGAAGCTATGAAGGGAACATCTGCATAGAAGGCAGGTGAGCTTTGGGTGGTGTACGTGGGGGATGACATGAAAATAGAAGTGTGTCTTGCCTGTATCTAAGACTCAAGTAGGAACATAAAGATAGTTTGACCCAGTAGCAGCTTTCTTGTTACCTCCATATTCATCACGTGGGTGTGTTGGTGTCTCTGCTTGACGAGCAAGTCTGGGTGATTCCTAAACCTGGCACCGCTTGCTTCTCTTGTAGACAGAAGATTACTGCAACGATGTCGAAGCACCACGATGCAGGGACTGCTTTCATCCAGACCCAGCAGCTGCACGCTGCCATGGCAGACACCTTCCTGGAGCACATGTGCCGCTTGGACATCGACTCGGAGCCGACCATTGCGAGAAACACCGGCATCATCTGCACCATCGGTAGGCGATTCCTAGATATGAGGGAATTGCAGCTGCGAACCCCTCTGTTGCTGAAACTCATTAGGGAAATCGTGAGGAGGCTTCAGCTTTCATCCCTTGCCAGAGCTGAACTTGTGTGTTGAAAGAACATGACTTTCCCATGTCTGTCTAACCCGTGTTATTGCCAGGAGGGAATCCAGTGGCCGGTGGAATCAGAACTGCCTAGGTTCTGCTGCATTCCACAAAGCAAGTTAAAACAGTCTCTGCTGCTGTAGAGATGAGCTGCTTCAGCACCGAGCAAGTCTGTATCCATTATGCCCTTCTTCCACGTGAAACAGCCTGGCATGTGTGAGTTATCTCATTGTTTTTACAAAGTTAATATTCAAACTGTTTCTTCCTCTTAGGCCCAGCCTCCCGCTCAGTGGAGAAGCTGAAGGAAATGATTAAATCTGGAATGAATGTTGCCCGCCTCAACTTCTCTCACGGCACCCACGAGGTAAGGGTGGGGTCTGAGCTGATAGGGCCTCAACCAGGCCGTGTGTGTGTGTCTGCTGACCGCGTTTCCCACGGAAGAGAGAAATCCGGCTTAGTCTAGACCAGCCTTGGTGTGGGAAGGTGAAACTTAGCCCTGCTTTTGAGGAAAGCATGCTGGTTGTACATATTCAGCCTGTGTAATTGCTGATAACATTTAAGTGCGCTTTCTGAGCCATTTTGTAAGCAGTTCAAGTTGGCTCCACACCCCTCTCTGTACCAGGGAGCCAGGTAACTGATATTTGACGCTTGTGTGCCAACAACTTGCCCTGAAATCCTTCAGTTCTTCCTCGCATCCTGCCGTTCCCTGTACAAAGCTGCTGCTTCTCGGTTATAGCAGAAGCTGAGAACGTTTGTCCCCGTTTTGCTGTGAACCTCTGCAGGAGTACACAACTATCAGTTGCTTGTCTTGCTTCTTTTTTTGTTTCTGGGAGTTTTGCAAGGAGCGATTGAAGTGAACACAGTTCATGGCAGACAAGCCCTTCTTGATATAAATAGATGAGAACCTCAGCAATACTGGAGGAGCTGAGGATCCCATTCCAGGTGGCCTAGAATGCCACCCTGACCCTTCCTGCTGAGTTTTTTCACCCTGGCTGCCCTCCAGCTTTCAAAATGTCAGACAGTAGCCAGTAGCAGCTGTAGGTGGCTTTACTTACTGAACCGTGAGCCTCGCGGTGCGTAACAGCTTGGCCTCTCACCCTCATGGCCTTTAAAGGCCACAGGGCACTGTCAGAATCAAAAGGTCTGATGTTTAACTGTGGACAACCATCAGACCTTGACTAAACACCCTGGGCTGGTGTTGGTGCCTAGGCTGCAGTTAGCAGAATCTGCCTGAAGAAAGGGTAGTGTGGAATAGCTGCCTCTCAGCAGTCAAATCTGGCAGCTGGGTGGCTCTTGAGTCGGGTGGCTCGCCAGGGACTTGGTGGCCAGGCTAGAACTGGGAATTTTCACACTGTTACTGCCCAACGGAGCTTCTGCTGTGGTTTGCGGACTTGTTAGCTGAGGTCAAGGACAGGGACTGTGGCTTTCTGCTTTGGGTGAGGTCTAATTGCACATTCCCTGAGGTTAGATTACAGCAGAGACTGGTCTTTCTGTCATCTGTTGAGTGTGACTGTCAGACGTAGCCAGCCTTAAGTTTTATGCCCATCCTGGCTCCTCCTCCCAAACACTCCAGTTCCCAGTGAAGCCCCAGAGTTTTCATCTGTCGCAAGCACTTAGGTTCTTGTGTCCACTCTCCAAGCATTTAACAGGGCTTCAACTTTAACACAGGTGCTTTAGCACCTGGCTGCCACCCTTTTATATAGAAGAAAAAAAATTGCTTTCGCTTCCAGCTCTGCCTGCGTTCCTGTTCTGCGTATGTAACTTCGGGAAGTCAGACTCCCTAGGAGCCAGTTAGTCCTCACTATCAAACTAAGAAGGAAAAATCCCAGGTGACTGGGACCAGATAAATGCAATAGCACCGTTCAGACAGGTTTTCTGTACTGCATCCATCTAGTTTGCAGTGCATGGAAGGGTCGGGGCCTTTTCATTCTCAACTTTCACACTCAATCAATAAACCATTTTCCCCGCTCTAAAGAGTTAGCAGTTGCAGCGTCTCTCTGGCTGAGGGCACACATGTGAACTTTAGCACAGCTTTTTCGGGCCCCACCTTCCTGGCACTGGATTTTTTGTCCCGAAGTCGGTGTGCAGGGCTCATGCCGAGGCGGGTGGGGGGAGCCGCGTGTTTCCAGGTGAGTCAGGTCAGACAGCACTGGAGGGGAAAGGGTATTTTTTTATCTATCAAAGTCTGTCAAGTGTTACACAACATGCAGTCGAGGTTATCTCTTAATGTTGTTTAAGCAAGTAAAGTAAACTGATCTGCTGGTCATTTGAAGCTCATTCGAGGTAGTTGGGACGGAGCTTCTCCACGGAGCTGTCTCCTGAAGCTGGCAGCGTTAGCAAAATGCTCTCGCACCCGTGAAAGTTTGGAAGCTGGGTGTGTGGTGTTGGAGTCCTGAACTTCCGAGTGCGATTGTTTTTGGCTCTTGAAAGAAAATGTAAACACTTAAATGGATAATGTCCTCTTAGCAAATCCTTTATCTTTAGGGGAAATTTAAACCAAAGAGTTATAAAAAAAGCTTACCCATCTGCCCGCCGGAGCGACCGATAAGAGGGGTCAAGTCTGTGGGGGAGTCGGCAGTGCAGAGAACGGCATCTGCCTCTCCGTGCTCTGAAGGGAGGAGGAGGACAGCCGTGTGTGGCAGCTGCTTTGCTGTGACATTCTGGCATTCAGGAGTCTTTCCACACACATAACTGTCCGGCTGCCGGTGCTCGGCCATGTTGAATAGGCAGGTGTTCGGCAAAGCTTTCGGAAGCACTCTTCCTAAAGGCCTGTTGGTCAGTGGGCCATCTTCAAACTGCAGGTGTATGTCCCGATACAAAATCACTTCAGCCAAGCACCTGGGCTGTCTCCTTGAGTTGTCCTTCTGGGATTGGAACGGGGGGCACTGGAGGCCCAGCCGGATAACTGCCAGACTCCACTTCCGTGCAGGGAAGGCCCTTGTATCCTCACGCTCTGCTTTTCTGGAAGCTCTGTCTGAATTAAATTCTCAAGCTAGAACTGAAATTGGGCGTAATGTGAGAGCAGAGCTGTCAGCTTGGGCAGCATTTGGGGTGCGTAGTGACCTTATTAAAAAGCAGTGAAGTAGAAATGGGCTGAATGTTTCCCTTTCTTTTTCCTTGTCAGTATCATGAGGGAACAATCAAGAATGTGCGAGAAGCTACAGAGAGCTTTGCCTCTGATCCCATCACCTACAGACCTGTGGCTATTGCACTGGATACCAAGGGACCTGAAATCAGAACTGGACTCATTAAGGGAGTGAGTTGCTCTTTTTTTTTTTTTTTTTTTCTCCCATTTTTTTCAGTGTGTGAGTAGGTATCATGTTACGCCTGTGGCCATTTTCAGACAAAAAACTTCTCAAGGTAATGAGCCAGCTACCAAAAATGGGGATGAACTGCTGCAAGCTGGGAGGTGGTTTCGTGCTGATTTTTACTGGTTTTGCTGAAATACATGTTTTGTCACGTAGAGTGGCACCGCAGAAGTGGAGCTCAAGAAAGGTGCACCACTCAAAGTCACCCTGGACGATGCCTTCATGGAGAACTGCGATGAAATGTGCTGTGGGTGGACTACAAGAATCTCACCAAGGTTGTAGAAATAGGCAGCAAAATCTATGTGGATGACGGTCTGATTTCCTTGCTGGTTAAGGAGAAAGGTGGGTATTCCAGCTATGCCTGTTTGATTTCCCTCCAGTAACAGTTTTTTAGCTTCTAGTTATGTATTAAAGAAAGGAGTTCTTAATGCTGTAGCGAGACTTAGAGCAAAACATTCTCTACTTCAAGTGTAGCAAGTTTCCAAAAGCTAACTTCAGCTGGATTTCACTAGACTGTCATCTAAAACGCCTCTTCGTAGGTGAATGTGTAGTAGCGACATACCAGTGCTCATGATCAAAGCCTGTTTAGCTAGTTCATACTTTACCCAGGGTAATTCATATTTTTAATGCGGGAATTAACTAGTTTTACAGCATAAACCCTGAGTTTTGTGGTTAGAGACAGAAGTAGCTTTAACTGGCAAGGTTAGTTCCATGATTCTGCCTTCATAGTGGTGCCTAGACTGCTTTAGCCTGGAGGCATTGCCTCTAATCCCAGGAGGTCGAGGCGAGGCTTTTGGGGTGCTCAGTTTGGTATATACAGGGCTCCTGTGTGCAGAAGCACAACGTGGTAGCTTTTCTGGGGGGAGGCAGTCCCAATCTCCTGCACAAACAAACGGTGTCTTCTACAAGAGCAGCGCAGAAGTGGTTTTAAACCCGACTGTTGTGCTCCCACGGGTAAATTGCAAGCTTGTGTGTTACATAAATCCTCTGAAAAGAGCGGCGATGTGCTTTTTATCGTGTGCGGTCGCTGTCAGCGCTGCTGTTCCCAGGCAGGGAGGTGGTGTGGGAGCTGGCAGCGGGGAGCTTGCCGGTAAACACTAACCGTGGGAACACTTGTGTTTTCAGGGAAGGACTATGTCATGACAGAGATAGAGAACGGTGGCATGCTCGGCAGCAAGAAGGGGGTGAACCTGCCTGGCGCTGCAGTCGACCTGCCTGCGGTCTCTGAAAAGGACATTCAGGACCTCAAATTCGGTGTGGAGCAGAACGTGGATATGGTGTTTGCTTCCTTCATCCGCAAAGCTGCTGATGTCCACGCTGTCAGGAAGGTGCTAGGGGAAAAGGGAAAGAACATCAAGATCATCAGCAAGATTGAGAACCACGAGGGTGTGCGCAGGTGAGCTCTGCAGGGGTGGCACTGCAGCTCTGTCACCCTGGATCAACAGAGGAGCACAGCCCCTTCACGCTGTAGTCAGGGCTCCTGGTCTGTGGCTTGCCAGCAGCAGCAAACTTACTAGTCCGTGTAACAGGGTGGTAATGCAGGCTGTCGCTTAACGCTGTGCACGTGGGACTTGATGGAGCTGTGGTAGAAGCAGTGGGTTGTGTAACTGTCACACGTCCTGAGCTCGTGGGGACAGTGTCACAGCCTCCCCGCATCCCTGAACAATCTGCGATAGGCTTTGTAGTGAGTGTGAGTTCAGACTTGAGCAAACTCGCTGTTCTGGATGCAAATCAGCGAGCTAATGTATGGGAATCACCATGTCTGTGACAAACTATCACACTAAAATATCTTGGATCAATTCGCGCTCCTCTCGAACTGTTTTTGGATAGCTTCAGAGAGCTTTATATAGCACTTTATATGTGCCATGACTTGGTCTTGTTTTATTTCCTCCTACCTTGGTGTTAGAGGATACCGAAACGGTACTGGAAAGGCCGTGTGCCGACAACGTAGCTTGAGAGAAATGCTCTCTTTCAGAGAGGGAGGACAGAACAGGCGGAAGGTGCTTTGCAGAACAAGTGGGATAACAAACCTCTTCTCTTGCTGTCAGGTTTGATGAGATCATGGAGGCCAGCGATGGCATTATGGTGGCCCGTGGTGACCTGGGAATCGAGATCCCCGCTGAAAAAGTCTTCCTTGCCCAGAAGATGATGATTGGGCGCTGCAACAGGGCTGGCAAGCCCATCATCTGTGCCACTCAGGTACTGGAACCCCAAAGCCAACACGTAACCACCAGAGCCTGGCAGGGTGTGAACGTCGGGAGCTGTCCCGGCTTAATGGCATTGGCTAGAGTGAGGTGCAAGGAGGTGTTGTTCATAGCTGAATAGCTCATCGTGAGGTGCTGCCTTAAAGATATGTTTAGATCTTCCCCAGTAAGGCTACAGGACTTCCTGTGTGGCTGCTGAAGGTTTTATACCCCTCAAAACTTCGTGCAGTGTGAGCCTTTTGGGCTGACTAAACAAATTCTGGGGGGAAAAAAAAAAAGCTTATGCTTTGCCTTGGCGTCTTGTAGCAGCACATCTGTGTCTAATGGAGAAGACTTGCTAAGGTTCCCAGGTATCTTTCAAGATGCGCCCACACTGCAGCATCAGAAGGAACTGAGTAAAAGGTCCATCTCCTTATTCTAGGAGCTGCTAGTAATAGAGGGAGAGCCACTGCTCAGCTTCACGGGTTCCAGTAAGGCTCATGTGTGGACAGTCCTCAGGCACTGGGAGGACTGGCTTCCTGGCTGTGCTTTCTCTATGCACAGACTGTGGAAGCGAAAACTGGCTCTAGACAGTAGTCATCAGACAAAGTTCTGGGTTTGCAGTGGCATATATGCTCCTTCCTCTTTCTGTACTGCTACTGAAATGCCGCCTCAGGCGGTGCTTCATGAGGAAATGAGTGATGTTTGCCCTGCGGTGAGCTGCAGCGAGGGGGGAGAGCTGGGGAGCTGAGCTTTCCATAAAGATGTCTTAACACATTACCCTTCTCTGAAGAGCTCCGAGTTCCTTGGACCAAGCCCTGTCATGGGAAGTTAAATTGGAAAGTTGGAGTCTGGGCTGCTGTGTGGGTATAATCTCCCTGGAAAAAGGGGTAAATGGAGAAGAGGTACAAAATGAAGTGGGTTGGTTTTCCTGCTGGTAGGTGCTTGAATTCAAAGCTGGTTAGGGACCAGCCCCCCTGTCCTGTACCCACAGGAAAACTTCTCCCAGAGTCCTTAGGCTGCATCCCGTCTTCTGCCCTATGTTTAAATACATTGAAAAGCGCTAGTGAAAAAGCAGCCGGCTCCTTCTGCGGTGTTCTGATTTCTTTGAACTCGTTCTTTTCCAGATGCTGGAAAGCATGATCAAGAAACCTCGCCCGACCCGCGCTGAGGGCAGCGACGTTGCTAATGCCGTCCTGGACGGAGCAGACTGCATCATGCTCTCCGGAGAGACTGCCAAGGGAGACTACCCGCTGGAGGCTGTGCGCATGCAGCACGCGGTGAGTGCGGCCTTCGCTCCGGGGGGGGGGGGGGGAGCAGGCCCCGGGGGGGTGGTGGGGGGGGGAAGGTCACAGTGCTCTGTTGCCCTGCGCCTTCCCCCCCCAGCCAGGCACCTCAAGATGAGAACGTGTCCGGTGCTAGGTGGCAGCACCTAGCAGTCCAAAGTAGCCGTTTCTTTGTTCACCCTCCCGCTGTGGGTGTTGCTTTACCTAGCACGGTCCTCCTGAAAACCTCTTCGTGTGCTCCAAACTATTGTCAGGCGGAGCTGGGAACTGCTCTGCCGTGCTCCGAAATCTAAAACTGCAGATTTCTTATATTAATTTATTTTTAGGCCAGCCTAAAGGGCTTTTTGCTGTTCCTTTGGTATGAGTTTCTCAAAATGCCTTATTCCTTTTGGCATATTAAATGACTTAAACTTCTCCAAGGTCAAGGAGCTGCTTAAGCAGTTTATCTCTAGATAATAAAGAAAGGATTCAACTGACTCCTCCGTGGGGGGTGGGGCGGGGGAGGCTTGTGAGTCTGATTTACAGCGCTGTTGCATTGAGCACCTGATGCGCTTGATGTTGGGGGTGTTTGTTGCACGAGTACTGACAGCACCATATTTTTACATGCCTGAACTGCCAGAAACCTCTGCTCTGCTTCGAGTTCACCCAGCTCGTGTTTCAGCTGATAAAAAGCCTGATGCCAAGTACCTACAAGTGTTGCTTCTCCCCAGTTACCAGTGCTGTGAATCATACCAGTGATAACTCGGCAGTTTTAACTCTCACCAGTTTTATTTGCAATTCAGGTTATATAGATTAATCAACTCAGCTAATGTTTGTTTGCAGTGCATTATGTAAATATCTCCTACCTTTATCTGGTCAATACGGAGTGGTGTTTTTTGCACATGGCAAATATGACTTAATGGTTACTGGGCAGTGACTGCTGGTTTGCAGGCTGAACGCTAACGGTGCACTTAAAAGGTTCTTCCTCCGTTTTCATTCCCTGAATCGTGAGGGCTGACTTTCTGCCAAGAGTTGGAAACTTGCTGCAGCAAACCTTACAGCAGGGTTTCCATTCTGGCATTAATTCTTAGAATTAGGCAGGTTGTATTGTACCTGTAGCCTGAGCTCAGGATCCGTTGCATGCTGCGTGCATGATAGATGGTTCCTTCTTCCTGCGGGCCTGGGAATCGTGTGGTGTTCACTCTGCCAGGCCCCTGGAGAAACACTGAAGGTTTTAACCCTCTGTGCAGAGGAGCAAAATACAGATTCACTTTATTTAATGTAACGTGGCACAGGCAGCAAGGTGCCAACTCTGTGGTGGTAGGAGCATGTCCTTCTACAGTCAGGATCTGAGCTGATTCACTTGATGTTAGTGGAGAGAAGCCTTGCCCAGCGATAATGCCCTGAATAACTATGGTCTGAAAATCTGCAGCATGGCCAGAGCAGCTGAATATTTATGTCTGAGAGCAGTTGAATAATTCCATCTGAAGCGGCCAAGTGGTTATAACAGGGAGAGGGCACCTTACCTCTGGTAAAGAGTGGCTCCTGCATGCATTCCCTGGCTCGAAACTGGTATCAGTTTGGGTTTATATATTTGTTTATCCAGTGCTGCTACAGCAGTATTCCAGTTAAAGCTCCCTCTGCAGTGAGGTGCAGACAGCAAACACAGGCTGGCACGCTGAGAACGAGCAGGGGCTGTGCTGTGTGGCATCCTTGCACATCTCTGAGATTTGACCTGTCTCTCCCCGGCCTGTCCCAGCAGCTTTGCCAGGACTCTGCAGTGGTTTCGCTTAGCGATCCCTTTCCAGCTAGCCTTGTAGAAAGGGGCTTGCTCTTGGGTAGCTGGCATCTCTCTGACAAAAATGCCACGTGCCTCGGGTTCTGTAGCAAGCTTCCAAACACTGGGCAGGCTGTTTCCTGCTCGTGGGAGTACGCTTCCTTCCAATTCCAGTCCATGATCTACAGTTGCCTTCAGATGCTGCCCTGGCCATGCTGTCTAACAGGCCCAAGGTTTAACTAGCCGCTCGGTTTTCCTTTCTCCCACCTCCACCTGTGTACCTTCTGGAAACCCTCCTGCTGTTTCCGTGTGAATAAAGCTGGCTGTGACACGGCACTAAGAATTGCTGTGCCCTTCCACTGTCAAAACAGGCACGTGCATATGCTTATTCTCTTACAACTGGGGGAGTGCAGGCTTCTCTCTAAACTCAGGTTCACGCTGTGTGTTACGCAGAGCTGCCTGCCTTTGGACCAGGAGCTGAGGATAAAGTGCCTGCCTATCAGTTCTTGTGTTTGGAGTAAGTGTTTTGAGGCGGATGCTTCCATTTTATCTAACGGGAAGCATAAAGCCAGCAGTAACCAAACTGCTTTAGGACCAGAGTTGGCACTGGAGTGCTGTTCTGGCTTGTTACATCTGTCCTGTTACTTTTAGACATAAGGTACTTAACTACTTTGGCTTAAACCAATATCCCTGGAAGAGGGATAATTCCTAGCACCACATAAAATAATTCATTAACACTGGAGTAGCAAAATTCTTATTTGGAAGGGGTCTAACTACAAAGCTTTCACTATAAGGGCACTTCAGTCTCTGCTTAAACATCAACTCATCGTGCTTTGTGTTGTGTCTGCTCACTTTCTGGAGTAACTGAATGAAGTTGTCCTTGGAAAGATGATCAACCTTTGCATGCCTTTGTAGTCTCTGCAAGCCTTCTTTATCGGGTTGTCAAGGGCGAATGCAGCCTTCCGAGGTGAGAATTGTCTTTAAATGGGAGTGATTCCCAGCGTACTGGGATGAATAGGTTACTGAACTTGTTGCAAATGCTTAGCCTGAACAGAAAGCCCTTAGCTGTGCTTCTGCAGCTCTCGTCTGTCCACGTCTGGCACGGTACAAACACCCCAAAATACCCATTGTGACAACCCTATAAGGAAGACTTGTTCTTATTTAGTTCTCTATTACCGAAAGGGATGTCGGTACAGCACTTGGAGGTGAAACTTCATTGGCTCTCAGGTTAAACTAAATCAAATGAAGCGGCGAGAGACAGTCTCCCAACTTCAGGGGCGACATTGAAAGTGCATTGCTTGCATGTTGGCTCCGTGAAGACCGTTTTAGCAGTGCTGTGTGGCGCTGGGAGGGTATGGAGGGGGAACACAGAGCTACAGCGATTGCCTCTTGGGGAGCCGGAGGCAGGAAGGTGGCATGGGAGTGTCTCAAGTAAGCAATAAGCAGCAGGGACAGAGTGCAGCCTGACTGAGCTGGTTCACTGTGGTCCTTGAAAAGCAATCTGCATTTGGCTGCTCTGAAGGGACTCCAAAACAGAGCGAGAATGCCACCTTCAAACTGCCTGCCCAGTGCCAGGGCCCGCCAGTTAAATGGCGCGGTGGACCGGCCGCCGTGGCTGTGGCACCTTACGCTGAATTGCATTCAACAAATTCACAGCCTGAGAGCCAAAGAGTTTCACAACCTGACCTTTCATATCCTCTTGCATGCATTACTATGACAATTAAGCAACTCGACATGATTTCATGTTACTCTGGTATATCTTTCCTTCTTTTCTTTACTCCTTTTCTCCTCCTTCCCTCTTACTCGGGCCTGCAGATCGCTCGTGAGGCTGAGGCTGCAATGTTTCACCGTCAGCTCTTCGAAGAAATTTTCCGCCTCAATGTTAACAACAGGGACCCTGCCGATGCCATGGCAGTAGGCGCAGTGGAGGCCTCTTTTAAGTGCTTAGCTCCAGCCCTGATAGTTCTGACCGAGTCTGGCAGGTAGGGCTCAGAGAGGGGGCTTGATGCCAGTTCTTACCGTGAGTTCAAACACGCTCCGTCCTAACACTGCAGATATTTAGCAAGCGGCTCGCTGCTACGGTATCAGCCTTGCAATAACCACTGCAGTCTGAGTTGACTTCTCTGTGGCAGGGAGGGACTCCAGGTAGGCAGAAGCAGAGTGAGAGCGCCTGGCAGTCGGCATGAATGTCACCCGAGCGTGGGCTCGCAAGGCGAGGTGACTCACCAGGTACCACCAGTTTGGAACAGAAACCTTGAGAAGGGAATGGTGCCTCCAGAAGGCTGTGCTGTTGGGTGGCTGAGTGTTGCGGCCGTCACCCCGGTGTGTTGAACTCAATCTGGACTTGCTAATTGGTAACTCTTAATGCCACAAGCTGACGGTATCTGTGTGACACCTTGCTGGCAGAGCACTTGGCCTTACCCTGTGTTGCCCCGAGCGACTGATGTGAGTGTTGTCTTCCCGAACGCGTGTTGCTCTTATAGATTGCCCGGGAGGCCGAAGCCGCCATCTTTCACAGGCAGTTGTTTGAGGAACTGCGTCGTCTGACTTCCCTGAACTGTGATCCCACGGAGGCTGCCGCTGTTGGCGCTGTGGAAGCGTCCTTCAAGTGCTGCAGCGGGGCCATTATTGTCCTCACCAAGTCTGGAAGGTAGGAGGTGCCAGGTTCCTTCAGGTCAAGCCCACTTCGTGACAGGGTGGGGGAAGGAGACTCGCAAAAAGCTGGCTCGGAAAGACTAGAGCTGTAACGGTGAAGCCCGGGTTTTGGCAGCGACTGAGAGCCCAGGCTGCCTGCCTGCAGTGCTGGTTCCTCGGGAGATGGGCAGACATCTCGAACATCTGCACATACGTAACCTGCGACTTCCTCAGCCTGCCTCTGCCAGCGTGGCACCGCGACCCGGCCCTGCCTCCCCTCGCTGCTGCGAATGGCATCCCTGCCAGCAGCACTGGCTGGAAGAGTCAAGGGAAAATAAGTGTTGCAGCTTCGATTCAAACTCCTTGGCAAGAAATCCTTGATTTAACAGTGTAAGGTAGAAGTTCAGTGGATGCAGAATCTTGTTGTTGTTTTTGAATTAAGGCCTTGGCTTTTCCTAGTAGCAGCCAAATGACTGGCCCCTTGCTGAACCTTTCAGGCATCAGCCCTGCTTGCCTAAGCCCAAGAGGCGAAGAGGGACTGCTTAGCCTGGAACTGTTAGGCAGGGAAACGGCAGGCGCTGGAAATTTCCTCATAGAGAGGCCTGCCTGCGAGTAATCTCGCTGAACAGGCAGGCATCTGGCAGGCACCCAGCAGCCAAGTGCTGCCTACGTTCTCAGGTGAGCTCGGTGCCTTGGCTGCAGGTGAGAGAGCCATGCAGACGTGCTGGAACTATCTAGTTTTGGATTTCTGTCCAGCGACGGTGACAACTGCCGAGTAGAGACTCACTCTTCCAGTTGTGGAAAGTGGAGCTGAAGCCTTGCTGATCAGCTTTTCCATCTAGAGGAACTAGGCTGCCCGCTCGCAAAGCACGTCCGACCATAAGTCTCAGACTGCTTTCTGGAAGAAAATCTGAATTTCTTACACTGGATTCAGACCAAAGAAATAGTGCAGTAGCCGTGATGTGGTATGTGCTGGGCACGGTCTACCTGAAGATTTGGACCATCGGTGAAACCTTCACCTAAATTTACAGCTTAAAATGATTCGGAGCAGCCACTTTCTGCAGAGATGAGGAGTGACTCTAAGCACTGAGTTTCTGGATACCCTTGTGCTTCTAATGTTTCTTTGCAAAAGGTTCCAGTCTTACACTTGACCTTTTTAAAGAGATTTGAACTCTGATATTTGAATATTTTTAGCTGTGGATTCTGTTACAGCCTTTGAGTACCTGGATCTCCTAGAGCTACCAGGAGGCTTCTTGGACAGCGTGGAAAGGATTGTCTGAGAGCTGGCACGTGTGTTTGGGTGCTTCGAGCAGACTGCTACTGCCTGCTTCAAGCAGCAATCTTTGAATATTGCTGAGCTTGGCTCCACTAAAGGAGGCTGCAAAAGCTAGTGGAGATACTGGCGTGCTCATTGGAAAGATGGAGCTGTAACACCGTGGCCTTGCAGTTTTAATCTCCATTTATTTGCAGATGCCCTCTGTAAGCAGTGCCCAGGGAAAGGGAAGCCATAGTCCCCCCCAGGGTGTGCTGCTTGCTATTTTTAAGGCATTTTAAGGACTCTGTGCCCAACCTCCCACTATAAATTTTGGCCTTGGTTGCATTTTCTTCCCGTTGGGCACAAGAGCAGAGCTCTGTGCGGAGGAGCTGGCCTGGTTGCTGCCTTCGGCAGGTGAACGTGGCTGGGAGGCCAATGGCTTCCCCCTTGGCGAGCTCTGGGTAGCGCTGTTGGAGCGGGCTCGTTCCACCCCACAAACCGGGAGCTCCTCTCGGAACAGAGGGAACTTGCAGGGCCCCCATTGAGATGCCGAGGACTGCTTGCAGAGGCTGGAATAGATGGCACCTCGCCACCTTAACGTAGCAACAGAAGACAAATCCAGGCTTGTTTTCGGGCCCAAAACAGAGATGGCACTTCCTAAACTCGGAGTCGAGGTGATTTTCACCATGAGACTGGAGTAGGGACTGTCGCCCAGGGACGGCCTGTGGTGGTGGTCCGCCCAGTTGCCTAACTGGGAATTCAGCAGAGCATCAAGCTCCTTGGTGAGCTTGGCTCTTGCCAGTATCTCCCGCGGTCGTCCTCGGTGTCCCTCCGGGGGTTCTGTGGAGCACACCCCCCCCCCCCCCCTCGGGTGACAGGCAAACCACGCCGCTGCTTGTGCTCCCTTTGGCTGTACACGGGCGTCCTCGGGCGGCTGTACTTGTAACGCCCGGTGCTTCACCCCCCCCCCCCCCGTGTCTGGTTTCCTCCTAGGTCAGCCCACCTGGTGTCGCGGTACCGCCCGCGGGCTCCCATCATCGCCGTGACCCGTAACGACCAGACGGCGCGCCAGGCCCACCTCTACCGCGGCATCTTCCCCGTCCTGTGCAAAGAGCCGGCCCACGACGCCTGGGCGGAGGACGTGGACCTCCGCGTGAACCTGGGCATGAATGTTGGTGAGTGACACCACTCCAGTCTCGCTCGGGGTGGGACGCAGCAGTCCCGAGCCCCTCAAATGGTGTTTTTTGGGGGGGGGGGGGTTACTTGTGGCAAAGGGAGAGGAACCGGCTGCCTGTGGGGTAATGGCGCCCGCTTGGGAAATGGGGGACGGTGGTTGCATCAGCACAACCGCACCCGATGGGGAAGTGGGACAGCGGGTTTGTCACAGCTGCCTTAAAACAGGTACCAGCAAAAAAAAAAAAAACAGGTTGGGTTTAAGGTGAGAAGTGCTTGGCGCTCGTCACTCCAAGAAGCCCGGAGCGGGGCGACTCCCTTCTCCAGCCCCTCTCCAAGTTGAACCTCCAGCTCTGTGTCGCAGAGGAGCCCGGGCGCGGGGTCCGAGCTGGGTGGGCAGCAGGAACGCCGGGGTCTGGCCACCAACCTCCCCCCCCACCACCCTGGGTGGGTGACGAGCCACACCTCCCTCTCTTCTCTCCTAGGCAAAGCGCGAGGCTTCTTCAAGAGCGGCGACCTGGTCATCGTGCTGACGGGCTGGCGCCCCGGCTCCGGCTACACCAACACCATGCGGGTGGTGCCGGTGCCCTGAAGGACCGACCCCCAAACGGCAGCACCCCCCCTTCCCCTCCCCCACCCCCTCCTGCTCCCCCCTCCCCTCGCCTTAGACCAGCCGGCACTTGCGCTGTTGTCCTTGTCCCTAGAGCGGATGTAGGTTGCTAAACACCACCCAGTGCAGCAGCAGGGGGAAAGAGACCTTAAATCACTAAAAAAAAAAAAAAAAACCCTACATATATATATACTTGAAGTGTTTAGTTTTTCTAAAAACCTTTCCCTAGAGCAGAGTCCTGCCCCGCTGGTGTCGACGTCGGGGGTTCCCGTGTGCTGCTGGGACTCTCTCCTAGTGACTGTCCTCAGGGGGTGCAGCGTCCCTTTCCCTGCCCAGTTTTGGGGGGAAGGGGAGAGGTGAGGGTTCCCCTGTCCCCCTCCCTGCACCCACACCCTGCCCCGTCCCTGTCCCCCCCCACTTCCCCACAGACCAAACCCTGGGTGCCTCCAGCCCCCTCTACACCCGTTTTGTTTTCAGGGGTGGGGGGTAGCGGAAGGGGGTTGGTTCCACCTCCGTGCTCAGAGCTTCCCGTGCTCCCCTCGCGGCGTTGTCTCTTGTGTTAGTCGTGTTTCCACGCACATCCCCCCTGCACCCCCCCCCCCCCCCCGGGGGCGGTAGAGCACAACTCTCCATCAATAAAGAGAAGCTGAAGCACCCGCCGGCCTGCCCCACTCCTTGGGAAGCGGGGGGTGGGAGGGGTGTGTGTCTGGGGGGCGTGTCCCCCCGTGGAGGGGGTGGACCTGGGGGGACAGCGGCTCCCTCCCTGCTGCCACCCGAGACGCGCTCGGCGTGGGCACAGCAGCGGCGTTCTGCGGCCCCTTTAAGAGGCGGGTATCCAGCCAGGCTCCGCCTCCTCCGTTCAGCGGGTGGCGGCGGGGGGGGGGTTGAGGCCGGCGGCGGGCGGTAACGACCAATGGGAGCGCGCGGTGGGGGCGTGGCGTGGCGGCGGGCGGCCAATGGGCGGGCGCCGGGGCGCCGCGAGGAGGTCGGGCGCGCGGGGCATGACGGCGCCGGGCAGCGCGGGGCCGCCGCGCAGGTACCGGAGGGGGGGGCCGCGGGGGGGGGGGGGGGGGTCCCGGGGTGGGGGGTCCGGTAACCAAAGGGGGGGGGGGTGGTGGTACCATGGAGGGGGCCGGCACCATGGAGGGGGCCGGCACCCCCGGTCCCGTCCCTGTGGGCCCCGGGGGCAGCCCTCGGCCTGTCCTCGGCCGGCTGCCGGCGGCGTCGCGCTCTGAGGAGGGCGCAGAAACACCGGGGCTCCTCACTGAGGGGACGGAGCGGGAGCGGGGGGGGGGGGGGCCCGGTGCCGGGGTCGGGGTCCCTCCGTGGCGTGGGACTCTTAGAGCGGCACCCGGTATAGAACCAGCGCCCCGGGAGCTGGGAGCGATCCTGGGAGCGGCGGGGCCTCGGCCCCGCGGTTCCCGGGACTCTGTGTGTGTGTGTGGGGGGGAACCCCAGGGGGGCACCGGGCGTGTGTGTGTGTGTGTGTGTGTGTGTACATACACACACACACGCGCGCGCGCGGCTCCGGCTCTCCCTCCTCTCCTTGACCTCCCGCCTCTCTCCTGACAGCGCCGCTCGGCACCGGCCGTTCCCCTCCAGCATCCCCGGCGGTGGCTCCGCTCCAGCACCCGACACACGGGATTGAAATGACCTTGAGAGCCGGGAACAAGGGCAGCTCGCCGGATCCCGCCCGGGCTCGCTCGGGCCGAGCCAGCCCAGCTGCAAGTGCCTCCCTCCAGCTCTGATCCCCGTTTTTTTTTTTTTTGTTTTTTTTTTTTTTTCTCTTGGGAGGCGAAATCCCTGGCTCTCGCTCTCTCCTGCCTCCACCGCATGCTTCGCCCTCGTTTGCGCCAGCGGCGGGGAAGTCATCCAGCGTAAATCAAACGCTGCCGGAGGGGCTCCCGCCGGACCGTTTCCAGGCCGGATCCCAGCGCCGCGTAAGGGAAGGGAGATGCCGATCCGGGGGGGAGGGAGAAACCCCGGGTTTCGCCTGGCAGCCCGGGAGGTGGGTTGGGGGATGGGGGGGGCTCTGGGAATGGGATCGGTGGGCTGGGGGTCCGGCAAAGTTTTCCTTTTGCTGGGAACTCCTGCGCCTGCCTGCTCTGCCTCGGCTCAGGGCTCAGCGCTCCCACTGTACTTGCTCCACTTGGGATGGTGGTTTTCCCGCAGGAGCAGCTTCCTGCTAAAAAATTTCCTGGAGGAGGGCGATGGCGTGAGCCGCTAGAAAGTGTTTTTCTCCCTGTGCCGGCGCTGGAAGCGGCTCTTGGCAGGGACACCTCCCCGTCAGCTCTGCGTGGAGCCCAACCTTATCTTACCATGTGCTCCCTGACCCCGGATCTCTGTTCCTGCTGCACCTGGGGACCGGGACGGAGCGAGTTCTGGAGAGGGGAGATGAGGCAGCCGCTGTGGTGTCTCCGCTGAGGCCGAGGATGCTCCTTGCAGCCCCCAACCCCTCTCTGGAGCAGCCAGGGCTGTGCCTGGGACCGTCTGACCGGGGACTTGTCCCTGCTGGTGACCGTAAGAAGTAGAAAACCAGGACAGGGACTAAGCATTAGCACTTCCAAGTGCTCTCCAGCCTCTGGCTCTCCTCGGTTTAGGGGATTTCTGTGTGTTTGGTGACCTCGGGGGGGTGTTTCTCAATGCCCTCACCTCAAGCCTCTCCCCGTCCCTTGTGCGGTGCCCCTTGGCGTCAGCCCCGCTTAGGGCTAAATCCGCTCGCCCGGATTAAGCGCTGCAACCGCTTGGGGATTTAAGGGATGACGTGGGGGAAGCTGGAGCGGGCTGAGCTCTGGAGAGGGAGGCTCCAGAGCGGGTCAGAGCCCCTTTTCCAGCACAAGTTCTGGCCTCAGGGCAGCACGGCATCACCTGGCAGAGGGTGTTTGTGGCGCGGGGCTGCTCGTCCCAAAGGTACAGAGTGCCTGAGAAATCAGGCAGGGAAAAAGCCTTTTGGTGCGATGCCAAGGGATGTTACTTTGGTGCTTCTTGTCAGTAGTTTCCCTTCGCTTATAGATACACCCTTTGACCCGAGCTTCTCCTAAAAAAACCCCACAACCTCGGTGTGTTCGTCATGCTGGGGGTGGGCAGCTCGTTGACTTTGCAAACGCCGGCTGCGGGGATCCGAGAGCTGGTTCCCACAGCGCCGGTGACTCGTGTAGGGTTTTCCTGCGGCCCCGCATGGATGCTGCGTCTTTGGGGAGCGTCCCCCGTGCCTCCGGCCGGGATTCAGCCTGGCTCCATCGCATCAGGACAGTGTTTCAGTTGGGCCCCCGAGGCTGCGGGGACACTGGGGCTCATGGGGTTTCGACTCTCGGGCTGTTCGGGCAGGGCTGTCAGGGTGTGGCACCCCCGCCCTGGATCTCCTTGACTCTGTGGGGGATTATTTAGATGAGTTTCCCTTGGGGTGAGCCCCTCGGAGGGGGAGCAGGGGGGTGTCTAGGCGGTGAAAAAGCCCCTCTCCGTATGTAGGGAGCAGCTGGGCACGGCTTATCCGCCTGGGCTCTGCGGCACTGCCACGGCATCATCCCTGCGGACACCGGGATGCGCTCCAGCTCCGCGCTCGTCCCGCTCGCTGCGTCCTGCCTGTCCCCACCTGCTCCGGTATCACCCCCTGCCCGCTGAGCCGAGCTCTTTTCCCTTCAATCATTCCCAATCCGTAGGTCCGGCGGCTGTTTGCATCGCTGCTCCGGCATCGATCCCTTGGGATCGCGCTCCGCTTTGGCTCTCGGTGCCAGCGGCGCCGTGGCACGGCAATCTCCGGTTGCGGTGTGCCGAGGGCGGAAGCGTCACCTTTCTGGCCTGCCGGGTGATAACCTTCCCTGGGAGCGTGTTTACTTTACCTGTTGTGGCTGATAAGAACCTCTGATAAAACACATGATAGTAAATAACAGGCTTTAACGAGACGGGAGCGATTAAAGGAGGGAGGCGGTGTCCTCCTCTGCCCTGGGAGGATGGTGCTTTGCTGACCTGGAGGGGCAGACCCTGGCCCTTGCTGGCTGAAATCTCCATCACCCCAGGGAGTTTTGCAGACTGTGATTTTTTTTTTTTTTTTTTCCCCCACCCCAATCTCCATCTTTTTGCGGAGGAGAGGCTTGGCTTTGCAGGGTGTTATCTGAGGCAGCAGCGGGGGAGCCGCTGCTCCTTGGCCACTCGGTTGCGAGCACCAGGGAGTTCCCGGCAAGAAATGCCCTTTTTTTTCCCTCCATGTGACTTGAGAAAGAGCAGAAATATTCTTGCTGGCCTTGAGTGGCAGAGATAGTAACGTCTCTGTGCAGACTGGGGTGGAAGGGAACAGAATTACGGCTCCAAAACTCATCTCTTCCCTCTTTTCCTCCCCTTCAGGGGCTAACGGGCTTCTCCTTGCAGCGCCAAGCCGATGCATGAAAAAGCAGCTCCCCTGAAGAGCCCCGAGCCCATGCACGGCCGTGAGAAACTGGAGGCATCCCACAAGGAGAAGAGTTTGGATTCCCTCGACGGCAGGTGAGGGGCAGCATCCCAGGGTCTACAGTCAAGTATTTACTCTTTTTTTCCTCCGTGGCGACCTCCTGCAGCATCCCCGCCACCTCCGAATGCAACCCACCAACTAGGGGGTGGGCACAGGGGGTCCCCTCTTTGTTTTCCCTCTCAAATATTGGGTCTATAAAAGCAGGGAGGGGAGAGGGGTCTGGGGAAGGGGACTGGTATTCCCGCTGCGGAAGTTGTTGGGAGGATTTCACTGCCTCTGTGGCTTCTCCCTTCACCTTGCCTGTGTGGTGGATGTGGACGGATGCCCCTGGCACGGCCAAAGCCGACTCCGTTCTCCTGCCCGGGTGTATTCTCCAAATTCCTATTAGTGCTTTCCCTGAGGAAACCAGCTCCTAACCTGTCCCAGGCTCCTTCCCCCAGCGCTGGGGTGCGTTTTGGGCACAGACCCCCCGGTGCTGGGGCCTCCCATCAGCCCGATCCCAGACAGAGACCAGCTGCCTTTTAACCTCAGCAATGCCCAGCGGTGTGATAAATCACCGAGATATCCAAAATGTGGCTTTCTGGGGTCTCTCTTCAGTCCTCTATGTCTTGTTGTGTCTCCCTGCGGCGTGTTTCAGGCAGCAGGTGGGAGACCCGGGGCTCTTCACTTACCCGATTATTGTTTTTTTTTCCTTCCAGCCTCCACCTGAACGAAGCCCTGAAGGATGAAGACATCAAGAAATGCCACCGGGAAGTGGTAAGTCTTTGGCTTCGTGAGCGAACGGGCTGGTTCGTCGTAGCGCGGCTCTGGCCGTTTGCCACGGAGGAGCCCGCCGGGCTCTGCACTGTGGGCTGTGGGAGCTGGGGGCGAAGCCGCGGCCGCTCCCGGTGCAGGGCAGAGGCTCCTGCCTGCTTTTTCAGGGGAGCCACCGATGGTTTCGTGTGGCCTGTGACCTGCCTTGCAAACGCTTTTGGGATTTTCCATCCAGAGCAAAGGAGAAAGTGGAAATCTTGACTGCGAGCAGCTCGGTTCCCATCCGTTTGAACATTTCTGGTTGTTCAAACTGTGCCCAAAGTAGAGCTTTTCAGTCCATCTACAAACAAGAGATGCTCTGGAAGAGGAAGGAGCGGAAGGAGGAGGCATTTTGCTTTTCCCCGTGAAAAAGATGGGAGGAAAAATCCCCATTTTTCTGATTATTCAGAAGCATCTAGAAGGGTTACTAAACAGCACCGGGTTTGTGCTGGGGCCAGGGGGTATTGACCTGTGGGTCCAGACAGCCCCAGGGTGGCTCGGGTGCGATGCCACAGTCCCCTCTGTGCCCCCCCGAAACGTCCCCACTGGCGCCTGCCGGCATCCCGCCGTCTCTCCGGGGGGTGTCTAAGCCAACCCCAGGTGTTGCTGAGCCTCGATCCTCTTAGGGCCCAGCTCCTCCGGTGACAAGGTGCGCGGAGCAAAGGTGACCTTGTCACTGCGGGCAGGAGGGCTCTGCCTGCGCTGCTGCCTGCAAACCGGCCTCGCTGCCCCGGCGCCCTTCCAGCTGTGCTGGACCTCAGGTGAAGCATCTCAACCTTTGGGTTTTGGGGGGAAGCCACGGCCCTGGGGGGCACCCCGAGGTCCGGGGCGCTGCCTCCTCTGGGGCAGGGGGCACAAATCTGCCTGCGCTGCCTTTAAAGGACTAATTGAGCAGGTTTAATGCAAAGCGCTGACCTGCTTTGGAGCCTTTGACTTATATACAGAATTATTTAAGGGCGAACCCGCTGAGCCTCCCTCCGTGGCTGCTGGCAGGCTTGGAAGAGGCACCAGGAATATAAATAGCTGGATGGTGCGGTGAGATGGGTGCGAAGCAAGTGTTGTCACCGTGCCCCGAATAAGGGAAGAGCTCGAGGAGGAGGAGGAGGAGAGAAACCGCTGGGCAAAATAAATTGCCAGCGGACGAGCCCGGGAGAAAACCGGCTCCTCGCAGAGGCTCAGCAGCCTCCTTTGATATTGGGGGAAATGTTTATCTGGGAGGATGGCACAGCGTTTGCTGGGTGCTGGGTCATCTGACCCTCCTCCAGCCCTTCGGCTCCGCTGTCCCCAGCCTGGTGGGACCCCGCTGCGCCGGTCCCGGGTGCGGAGAGAGGGAGGGTTTTTTGCAGGAGGGTGTTTTTTTGTTTTGTTTTGGTTTTTTTTTTTTTTGGGTCTCCTTATCATCAAGGTCACTGGATAACTTTGCTCTGCTTATTTTCAGGCCGCTAGCAAGTACAACTCCCAGTACCACAAGCTGTTCAAGGACATCCCGACGGAGGAGAGCGTGCTGAAAGGTGGGTGGCGTGGCGAGGGACCGGCACGGGGGCGGCAGGAGCCGGCACACTGCCTGCCATGCCCCTCTCTCTGCCTTGCAGTTTGCTCCTGCGCGCTCCAGAGAGACATCCTGATCCAGGGAAGGCTTTACATCTCTCCCAACTGGCTCTGCTTCTATGCTAACCTTTTCGGGAAGGACATCAAGGTAACGGGGGGGGGGGGCCAGGTCACCCCGGTCCTGTAGGGCTCGTAGCCCAGGCTGAACCCCTCCCACACCCAAATACCACCAAAATCGCTGTCAGAAGCCTCCGGTGCGAAGGGGAGCTTCCCCCTCCGATCACCTGCGGCATCCGCCTGGGGAAACCAAATATTGGTTTGGTTTAAAATTCCCTGATGCAAAACCTCCTACAAGCCGCAACAGTGTTTGAAGGCAGATCAAAGGTTTCGGGGGCGGGGGGGGGAGGGATGAGATTTGAATCTCTCTTGGCTTTTCTTCTTGATTTACAATCTGATGTTTCCCCGTTAGTCTTGTGACTGATGGGGGATCTTGCGGGGAGACGACTTCCTTTAAAACTGGGCTGAAGAACTGAATTATTTATATCAGCCACTTTAAACAAATGGCTGATGGAAGTACGGGGTTTCAATGAAGTTATCCTGCCATAAATTACATCCTGCCTTATTTTTAGCTCTCCGCAGGCTTGCAGGGGGGCTCTTGTGATGGGGCTTAGAGAGGCTGGACGATGCTTTCCCTGTGTCCTCGTTGTTTTGACCGAGTAGAAAAGCACCTCTGAGCCCAGATTAATGCAGGGGGGATGCTGCGACCTTTAATAAAAACCAAGTTGTCCCTGGGGAGCGCCGGAGCCCCGCGTCGCCGCTCTGCTCGGGGCACGATCACGATGCGTGTTAAATCTCCGCCTTGCAAAAGGAACTCCCCGAGCCCGTGCCGTGCTCGTCCCTGCCCGGCCCCGTGTCTTTCTGCCCTCCAGGTTGTGATCCCGGTGGTGTCCGTACAACTGATAAAAAAGCACAAGACTGCTCGGCTGCTGCCCAACGGCTTGGCCATCACCACCAACGCCAGCAGAAAGGTAACGCCAGCGCTTCGAGCATCGGTAGCCGGCCTCGCCGCGGCCGGGGATGCCCTGGTCCGAGCCGGCGGGGATTTCGGAGCGGGGAACAAAACGATTCCCGTCCCCGGCTGAAAGCGCAGCGCTGCTCTCCGTGCTGGCCGCCTGCCAGGGCAAACACCGCGGCTTTGCTTGTGTTTCTGAATTTCACTTTGTTTCTGGGTGAAGCAAAGCCCAAGTGAATTTCAGCCGAGCCTGACAAATCCCAGCCAGGCTCTAATAAAAACTTTAAACTCCTCAGACGCAAGCAGGGGAAGGGTTTGGGCCGGCATTCAACCCGAGCTGGCAGAAAACTTGGTTAAGGGGCTGAATTTCCAGCTTTTAAATCCTGTTGGGTGTTGTCGGCCGCAGTGAGCTGACGTAGTCCTGCTCGGTGCCTCCGAGCCCTCGCCTGCCCGGGGGCTGCTGGCAGCAGCGTGCGCTGCCCACACCCTGCCAGGGGGGGGGGTCACTGCTGTGAGATTTTGGGCAGTGGGGTGGCACAAGGCAGGATTTAGGCATTCGAAACGATCTGGTTGTAAGGCTGCTTTGCACATCGCGTGGGCTCTGCACCGGGCAAGGCGAGCGCTGCCCCGTGTCCGCTTGCGCCGATCTGTGGGGAGATTTTTCCGTCGCTCCCGGCCCCGTTTGCTGCCGCATCCCTCTGGGCTGAGCACGGGAGGCCCCAGGGGAATGGCAGCCCAGCGAAACGCCCCAAAAAAAATCTGGTCCAGCTTTTAGCAGGCTGCAGAAAATAACAGCAGGGAAAGTCTGCAGGGAGATGCCTGCAGCGGGGACGCAGCGCCCGAAGGAGGGGAGATTCAAGGGCAGGATGTCTCTGCCTGTAGAGAACTGGGCCCGGGGTGGATGGGATCGCTCCCACCAGCTTCTTTCTTTCTCTCGCAGTACATCTTCGTGTCCCTCATCTCCCGCGACAGCGTCTACGATGTCCTGAGGAGAGTCTGCACGCACCTGCAGGTACCCTCCGCCCCGCACCCGCTGGCGTTTCGCGGGGCTCTGCGCTCTCCCCTTGGGCTGCGTTTCAGGGAGCAGAGCTCTTCGCCGCCGAGGCTTCGGAGCCGCTCCCAAAGGCCCCCTCCGTGCCCTGCCGCCTCTTCCCAGCCTCCTCGCTCCGCAGCAAGGGATGGGGAGAAGGGCAGGAGCCGTGCCCCGGGCACGTCCTGTCCCCGTGAGCAACCGCTGGCCTTTTCTGGGACACGGATGACGGAAGCAGAGCCTGGAGTTTCTGCTCTCTCCCAGGGCGTGTATATGAATTATTTATAATCTGGTAGTAATACTAGTTCTGCCACTCCGCACATCGCTGCGTTTTCCCCAGATCTAAAGTTTTAAAGGGAGGAGAAATGGTACGGAGTCAAAAAAAATTTGAATTAAGAAGTCAAAGTGGGGAAGACATCCATCAGCCCTCGAGCTGGAGAGGCCGCCTGTGGGGACCTCTTCTTCCCTGCCTTTGAAGCACGTGGGAAGCGGTGCCGGAGCCCTTCCTCACCCAGAAGGGGCGGCAATTCGGGTGACTCAGCCTCATGGCCCAACTGGGGAATTTATTCTTTGAAATGTGCTGGGCTCTGCCCAGATAGTCCCTTTATTTTCCCCCCCGATGGTTTATCCCTTCTGCTGGGAGCCGAGGCTGGCACAGGAGCCATGGCCCCACAGGGTTTTTGGTGATGGGAAGCAGTGATGCGGTGCCTCGTCCTCTGCTGGACGCTCTTCTTTGTCCCCCAAATCCCCGTGCTTGCAGGTTTTAAGCAGCTGCTCTTCATAGACTCACCAGAAACATCAAAATTCGATTTTCTGGCTCGGTTGAAGCAGGGAGGTGCGGCACCCGTAATGCCCGTTTTTTTCTCCCCTCCAGGTTTCAAGTAAGAAGAGCTTGAGTTTGAAGGAGCTGACGGAGGAGCCCGATGCCGTGTCGCTGGTGAGGGTGGGGGCAGCTCTGGGAGTGGGCAGGACCCCCGTGAACGCGCGCTGTGGGCAGGGGAAGCGTCTGCCTGGCCCCCTTGGTGGGTTTAATGCCTTCCCGGCGTGCTGGGCTTCGGCCGGAGGCCGCTGGCAGGGCGCAGAGCCAGTCCTCTCCCCTTGCTGCTGACAAAGGTCATGCGAGGATGTGGCCGTCACCTTCCTAGCTCATCCTCTGGGACCCTCATACCCTGATTTGGCAGAAATGGAGGGGTCAAGAGGACGTTTTGGCCAGTCTGCGGCTGAGCACAAGCTGATGACTCGGCCGGTTGGTCTCGGGGGCTCCATTTATAGATGGCGAGTCTTCAGAGCGACGTGGAAAACGCCGCCGCTCTGCTCCCGCCGGCTGATGCTGTTTGCAGCTGTGCGCACGGCTAACGGGCTGGAAATGCGGTTGAATTATCCAGAAACGCCCTGGGATGAGTGGGACAGCTTGTAGCCGGGAGGCCGGAGGGGGGAAACCACCTGCTGAACCGCGGTGTCACCGAGGAGGGGGCAGGAGGGACCGCGTCCTGCCGCCTGTGGAGCTCTGCCCGCGTCCCTGGCCGGCAGGATGCGTCCTCTCCGTGAAACGTGGATGGCCCGTCCCTGTCTCTGCTCCCTCGTGAAGCTGTTGGTGCTGTGGCCGTGCTGGGCTGCACAGGGACCCTGAGCGGGGTGTCCTCCTCCATGGGCCGGTGGCCCCGTGCCTCGGGCTGGATGCAGGTGACACCTGGGGTGGCCCTTGTGGGACAAGTGGGATGTCCCCCCGGTCTGGTGGCATCCCAGGGGTTGAAGGTTATTTTTCAAGGGCTGGATCGGGAACGATCCAGGCTGGCAGCATCTCCTGATGCTCCCGAGGGATGTGGCCCTTCAGCAGCTCCAGCCCCGGGGATTCTCTGGTGGGGGACCCCCCCTCCACGCCAGCTGCCACCCCGCTTGATCCGGTGCCTTTCCGGGGCGCGCTGGGGCGGGGATGCTGAGCCACAGGCTGGGTGGGTGAGGAAGATGACGGGCGACCACACTGAGCTTCAAACCAAGGGGCGAAGGAGGCAGCGATCGGTATTGAGGGCGGACGTGGGGTGCGTGGGCAGGTCCTTCCTGTGGCAGCAGCAACCTGCGTCCCCACGGGGCCCTCGTGGAGGACCAGCTCCCCTTTAGGGTGAGGTTTTGGATGTGCTGGTGCTGGATGGAGACGCCGTAAGATTCCAGCGTGGATCTGGCCCTGCCACGTCCTCGGCGTGGCCGGTTTCGCGGGAGAATCGGCTGCGGGCGGCGCGGCTCAGCCGGGGCTGTTCCTGCAGGAGGTGATCGTCCCTGAGGGCAAGTGGAGGAAGGTGTCACCCGCCTCGCTGTCGCTGTCACTGCCGGACACCGACTACCAGTGCATCCACCGGACCTCTGTCAGCAGCCTGAGCGCCAAGGAGGGCTCCTTCACTTCTGAGGAGCCCCTGGTTTCGGGTGAGGGCTGCGTCCTGACACAGCGACACGGGTTTGTGCCCTGCCCCACGCGTGGTGCTGGGCCTAAACCCCCATAAATACGCGTTCGTCCTTCATCCGCTCTCGGGGAGGGGATTTCTGCCTTGTGGACAAGCAGGCTCGAGGCTGGGAGTTGCTGGGGGGGGGGGATCCTGGGGATGTGATGGGGTCTGAGCCCTCAGCGTGCGCCTGTAACGCCGTGCAGGCAGCATTAGCCCACGAGGGAGGGGTGTTTGATGCTTGAAGGCTCCCAGCTGCCGATCACGAGCCTCTGCTCATCACGGCCGTGCCGCTGACTCTGGACTTGCATTTCAGAGAGTGCAATAAACACCGAGGAGGAGCTGGAGGAGGTGGAGCAGAGCTGCGTGGCGGAGCTGAGACCTTCCGACTACCAGCTCCTGAAGATCTTCATCGTGCTGTAAGTGTGCCGAGGGCGGCCGCGGCGCGGGGAGGCCGGGGGTAGGCGAGGAACGTCCGCCTCGACCACTGGCTGCTGAGCGCTTGTGCTTGTTCCTCTCCTCCCAGCATCTGCCTCCTGGTCGTGTCCTCCTCGTACCTGGCGTTTCGCATCTTCCGTCTGGAGCAGCAGCTCTGCTCTCTGAACCGGGACTACCTCTCCCGTGGGCACAGGAGGTGAGGGACCCTCAGGGACATTTTGGGGCAGGTGGGTTGGCAGCGTGAGCGCAGGACCCCGAGGGATGCGGTGCGAAGAGCAACGGCGCCGCTCCGTGACGTGTCGCAGGGATGCTCTGTCCCTCGTCCTGTGCCGGCCGCTGGGATGGCTGATGGCAGGCCCCGCAGTGCCGTCCCCGTGCGGTGGATGATCCCGTCAACCGCTGGGTTGAGCGCCTGGGGAGCACTCAGCTGTTCCCTCCGGCTTTCAGCCCTTGGAAAGCCATTTCCTTGCGGGTTGGGGGCTGGCTGCCCGGTTGCGGGAAGCACCGGGGATATCTCGGATGAGCTGGGCTGTGCCCTGGGGCTAACGCAACCGTGGGCTTCAGGAAGACACAGACAGGAGTGGGTTCCCCTCCTCGTGCCTCGGGCTGGGCTCTGGTGCCTCTGTGGCCGCTTACCCCGTGCTCTGCTTGCAGGTGACCGTGACCCCCAGCGCTGGCTGAGGACGGATGCCGAGATGGTGGCACCCTGCGGACAGACCCCGGTGCTGCGTCCTCCCGGCCGTGGCTGTTGCACGTGGCCCGGCTTTCCCTCGGCTGGTAAAATGGGACCAAGTATCTTCTCTCTTCCTACTGGCACTCGCTCCCGGCGGGACCACCCAGCTGGCTCATGGCCACCGGTGCCAACTCCCCCGTCCCACTGGAAACCCGTTTTCTCCCTGGGACGCCGCTGCGCCGTAGCACCGGACGATGGCTCGGGGCTGCCGAGCAGTTGGACTTCCCCTTAGGACTTGCTGCTAAAACGGGTGCGGTTTTTTATTCCAGACTTGGGTTTTTCTTGTGCAGAGATGACCTTAGGCTCACGAGGAACCCCCCCCCCCCCCAAAATCTGGATGAGTTGCTGCTGCTGCTCTGGGTGTGAAGCCTGGGCAGCGGCTCCGCGCTGAACCTCCCTGTTCATCCCCCTCTTGGTAACCCCAGGGCCGTCGCCTGAGGAGTGGCCCCAACCCCGGGGGTCTGCGGGGATGGGGAGAAAGGGGCCACCAGCCCTGTGGGGCATCATTTATCCCAGCACCCAAGGGTGGGGGTACAACCCAGGGCTCCCCCAGCTCTGCTGGGCTCCGTACCGGCCACCACTCCTTCTCTCCCGGAGCACCGGGCCATCTCGGGGTGCGTGTGTGTGTGTGTGTGTGTGTGTGTGTGTGTGTGTCCCCTGCAAAGCACTTTAGGGTCCCCCAGACCAGGTGTCCTCGCTGGGGACCGCACCTGGCAACGGTGCTGGACCCAAGGCTCCGTTAGCGCCACTCCCCTCGTTAAGGCGTCCCGAAAGGAGCCGGCGGCTGGCACCGCTGACCGGCCCGATCGCAGCGTGTCCGTGCCCTGCTTCGTGTTCTCCTCGTCACCGCGCGGAGCCGAGTGCTGCAGGATTTGTCCCGCAGGATTTGTCCCGCAGGATTTGTCCCGCAGCCTCCCCCCGGGGAGCACGCTGGGGCAGCAGGTGATATCTGTGTGATTCCTTTGGTTTTTCTTTCCTATTTTTTTGGGAACTACAAGTGCTGATGGGGCCAAATTCCCACTCCCTGAGGCAGAGCTCACTGTTCGCTCCGGCCTCGGAACGGCTTTTAAATGAAAATAAAACCAGGATTTTCTAGCACGTCCCTTGTCTGCTGCTGGCATCCTTGCGGCAGTGCCGGGCTGCCAGCCCCGAAATGGGGTACCCCAGAATCTGCGCTGTCCCGGTGCCCCTTCCCTGGCTGCGTCCTCAGCACGTGGATTAGGTGGGGACAGCCCTGTCCTGGCGTGGGCATGGGTGCCGTCGCTTTGTCCTCCCTTTTGGGCCAGCACTGGTGGAGCTGGGGATGCTCTGGGTGTGGGGAGGTTTTTTCACTAGATGGCAGCAGAGCCTGGGGGATGTGACACTCGAGCTGGTGGCAGGGCCACCCTGGGGACAGTGGGTGCCTAGGGAGGGTGCTGAGCTGCAGCCCCATCCTGCTGAGGTGGACAAGGTGAGCTTTCCTCCTCCTCCTCCTCCTCCTCCTCCTCCTCCTTCTCCTCCCTGAGCATCTGCCAGCCTGGCCCATGCAGCAAAACGCATGGAAATGAGTGAAATGCATAAAACCAGCCCAATTTGAAAGCCACAGCAGAGGGGGCGTTGGCTAAGTGGGGACTGGGGTGGCATCACCCCGTTTTGGGGGGAGATTTAGCACCCTGGGGGGCCGGAGCCGTGGTCTGTGGTTTGGCCATATTTCAAAGCTGTTTCTTAAAAGCCCCGGCGTTACGGGGCTGTTGGAGCCTTGGATTTTGGGGGTGACCTGGTAGACAAAAGGTGCCATCCTGCTGTCACCCCATTTCCCACCCCCCCTTCCCCGGGGACTCGCCCATTTCATTTTGCCCGTGCAGCTGCTGAAATGGGTTTGGGGTGGGTTTTTTTTTCCAAAACCAAGTTGGTGCTCAGTAAGTTCAACCTCAACGTGGGGCTTATGGCCCCAAAAATGAGGCTTAGAGGTTTAGGACTGGGTTTGGTTTTTTATTTTTTTCTCGCTCTCCTGTTCCCAGCCTGGTGTTTTTTGGGTGCTCCATGCCACCTGATATAAAGCAGGCACACAGGGTCCCTCATCCCCATGCCAAGCCCAGGCCAGGCGTGTGATGGGGGTGACAGCTACCTCAGCTCCTCCTGGAGCTCTTTGGTTAAAATCAGGGTGGGACAATCTGGGGGTGCAGTTGGTTGACGTGGAGGAGGTTTGGAGGAGCCCGGGGTGTGGTTCGGGGTGTCCCTACTGCCGTGAGCCTCTTGCAAGCCTCCAGTTTTATTTTCCAATGGTGTTTGCCTGCCTGGCCAGCGCGTATTTGCTCTCCCGGTGACGCCCTGCTCGAGCTTATTTGTTTTACTTTGTGTAAAGAAATGCCACGTAAAAGCCTTGGGTGCAGAAAACGTCCTTGAGTGCTCACCTTGCTGGCCCTGGCAGCCCTACCCTGTCCCTTGGAGATGGGGATGAGGAGCACGGGGTGCCCGCCGGACGAGCGCAGCCAAACTGACCCCCTAAAAATAGGAATAAGAGATTAAACCAGCCTCTGCAGCCACCTTGCTACCACCCAAGGCGTGGTGGAGTTGTCCCCGGGCTCGCTGGCTCTCCGGGGGCGATTTCTGCCCGGTTTCCCCCGCTGCAGGGCGCGGAGCGGCCAAGCAGCCGCTGCGAGACCCCGAGGCTCTGCCCGCCAGTCACAACCGTCGCGATAGATTTGCAGAACCAGAAAGGGTGAAGCAGGGGGAGCCACCCCCCTTGTTCCCAGGTACCTACACAGAAGATGGGCCGTTGCTGCCAAGCGCCAGGTTTGGTTGGAGTTTTATTGTGGGCCCGGGAGCGGCAGTGACATTGTTCTGGCAAAGCCCCACTGTGTCCAAGGTGAATCCCCTTTGGCGAGCGGCTCGATCCCGTTTCAACCATCTCTTGGGTTTTCAGCTCCATCCGAGCGGTGGAAGGGGTTTTCTGGGGAGGGCTGGTGCTGGAGGGAGGCCCTGGCAGCCTAGGAAGGAGGGGAATGACCCCGACCCTTGTTTGCCCCACCTCTATCCGTGTGTGTTTGCTTGGGTGTTTTGGAAGAGCCGGGCTTGCGGCTACTTACCTTCTTCTTAGCAACAAGGGGAGTTCAAGCCCTTCCTGCAGTTCATCACCTTGGTGCTGTGCCGGTACGCGCACCGGCGGGGCTGGGCAGGCAACATGATGGGTGAAGAGCTCCGGGTTAAAAATAATCCTTCCCCCTTTTCCTTTTCCAAGGGTTATATTTAACCTGGATTTCCCTGATCCAGCTGGCGTGCTGGGGCGTGGTTGCTCTGCCAGACACCACCTGAGCAACCTGCTCTTTGCTTCTCATGAGGTTAGAGATTATTCCTTATCCTGCCACGACATCTCATTTTAATTTTTATTTTCCGCATTGCTAAGCCAGTTTTTTAATGAGAGGATCTGCTCTGAGGTCCCAGCCATCATCCAGTACAGGAGGAAAAGAGTTTCAATTAGAAGTGTATTAAGGATTTACTGGGCTTCAAGGAGACCACAGTTATCTTTGGCTTTTATACCTCAAACTCTGTCCTTTTGTTCTCCTTGGTGTGTTTTTTTTTATCTCGAGTAACAGAACTGGTTTTGTGCTAGAGGAAGCAGCGACTGCCTCACACACTCCAAGTGCAGCAAATGCTAACGAGGGCTGGGGAGCGCTGAAGAACCCTCCCCAAATGGAGATGACCTAAAATTGTAATGTAAAAACCCAAACCTTCAAAGACTGAGTGTTGCTTTTCATCTCAATTAAGTTTCCTTTCCTAGGATTCGGTTTCTCAGCTTCCTATTAATCTTCCAGCAGTTCGGAGTCAGGTTTTAATTTGTAGTAAGAGCAAGCAGGGGTGGGACACACACACAAAAAAAAAAGCTATCACCATACAGCCTAGGAGCACCTATCTGAAAAAAAAAATGATGCTTTTTGCTTTTTTTTTTTTTTTTCCCTCCGTTCTTTAATTAACTGTAGCATTTCATTTGGAGTTTCATCTTTTCACGTCGACATCTCAGTGTCGGGTTTTCAGGGGTAAAAATCCTTGCTGCTAAAGCCTAGACTGTTCCGCTACCGCTGGTGGGAGGCCCAGATGAGAAATAGCCATGACAAAGCATTTTGGGGCTTGGTTTTAAAGGGCATTCGCTAAACCTGGCTTAGAACAGCAATGCCTGTAGCCAATTACAGCCACCTAACGAGGGCACGTTGCCTGCTGGGCAAAGGCAGAAAAGTCTCTTTTGCAACCCATTTAGCCACAGCAATCAGTGTAAAAATTCACCGTGGAGAGGAGGATTTCTCTGAAAGCAAAGTGACTTTTCTCTTTAGAGGTTCCAAGGCTAGTGATTTCCAGAGGGGACTAAGGCTTTTCCAGGAGGGAAGAGGGTGTTTGGGGGGGGGTAGCCATGCTGGAGGGGTTACATTCTTCTTCTTTGGGACAATCCTGTGCATGGGCATCTCCCTCAGGCACTGGGGGTGCTGCCTCACGCACGGGGAAGGCAGCTTTTTGGGGGGGGGGGGGTGTGGGTGGGCTGGAGCCACATCTCGATCACTTCTGTGCCAGTTTCGTGACAAGAGCTTTCCACTCCGATCTCTTCTGCGTGATGTAGGAGGGGGTGAGGAGCTGCAGCAAAGGCTCCGGCCGGCCCCTGAAGTATCCCTGACACAGAGCCTCCGTGTTGCAGATCACGTACATCCCACAGTCATAGCTGTTCTGCTGGGCAGGCGCCTTCTCCTCCATGAAGGTTGCTTTGCCCCCTCTTTTGCCCAAAAAGGCCTCCAGCTTCCCCGCCACTTGCTTGGCGTGGACCGTGTTGCATTTACTGTGGGAATCATAATGGGCAAAGCACTTTTTGTCCCTGAAATAAACCAGTAAGCTCCAGTGGGTGCCCCCAGCGACTTGGTTGGAGTTATCATTGATAGGCAAGAACACCAGCTTCTTGTGGAGAAGGTCCAACGGTTGAAGGAATATGGCTATTTCTTCCTGACTAAGGGCACATTTAATGAACTGAGCCACTTCGGGGCTGATAAAACAAACCTGATCGCTAAATTCTTGGAACTGGTGGTTGGCAAAGTACTCGAAGGCAAACCCGATGATGTGATCGTTAAGCCAGTTCGGGGGCTCCAGCAAGGCAACGTCCGACTGCCTCAGCAAACTGTCCATGTAACTGAGAACAACAGGGTCCATCCTGCGCAGGTCGGGGCCACGGCACTCCAGGAAGCTTCAAAAGCTGAAACATAGAAAGAGAAGATGAATGAAGGAGTCAGATTGCACCCGGGAGAAGATACAGCACAACAAACATCCCAAGTTCCCTCTCAGCGAGGAAAAACCAGCGAGCAAACCCAAGGTTTCCCAGATGGGTATTTGAAGGACCAGTGTTTGGGCCGTCTGCCAGACCAGCAGCCGGAGGACACTCAGCTCCTCACATGCAGGGCGCGACGGGTCGAGCCGAGAATTCATTTTCTGCAGCTCTAGGAGCAGTGCGTGGCTCCGATTAGATAAACCTTTCATCGTTATGATCTTAACCTCAAAGGAAAGCGATTTCAAAGCAGGTCCTGCTTGGGAACTGCAGGCACCTCTTCAGCTCTGTGCTTTGCATAGAAACCACATGGGATCTAGGAGACCAAGTCGGTTGGTGTTTCACTGTTTCACCCGCACAGCAACAATCACTGTAATTCTTTGCATCACTGGTATTCCTTAAATAAAAGTCTTTTTTTGGGGCTGTCTGACAGGCATATGGTCCCTTTTGCCTAGCAGACAGTGCCACAGCTCCGCGCCAGGTGCCTGACCTGTTCCAGGAAAACCTGCTGGCCCACCAGCACTGGAGGCAAGGCAAGGCAAGGTGAAACAAAGCAAACCGAGATCACAAACCAGTTCCCAACCGTGGGAATCTTTAGGACAACTCTCTACCTAGCCAGGAGAGACTGCAGTAACTCAAGTACCACCAAAGCTGGACGGTCTGCAAGTTGTATTTGAGCTCGGGTTTTAACTTGCCAAAATTTTGCTAACAAAAGGAGAAAGCACTCGTGGGTACGCTGAGGGGTGAAGATCCCTGCAGGCTTCTAGTGGTGACATCCACCTGTGAACAGAAGTGACCCGTCATGCTGACACACTCTTTCCAACCCGTTACTCTGCTCTTTGTCCAGGCTACGTTCTTCCTTCTTAATTTGAGTCTGCTTCCCACAAATAGAGGCTGCTTCTCCTTAAAAAGGCACCTGGAAGTTCAAGTAGACTGTAGCAGCTTGTCCTCCCCATCCACATGCTTGAGGAAAGGGACTTCAGTGGGTCTTCCAGGTAAGACTTCTCCTGACTCCTGTTTATCAGGTTATCCACGCATCCGCTAATTCTGGTCTTTCTACCAACTGTGTAATTCCTTTTCAGAAGCTGTTGCATGTGCTGCCTTCCCCTCCCGGGCTTGGGGATTAAAGCATGTTTTAAGAAAAAGGTTGCACAGCACACTAGGAGGTGCTACTCAATAAACAACACGAAATACTCTCTGACACCAGATTAGGATTTAGGAGGAGCTCTTCCTAAGAGAAACTGTTGCTTTAACCCCCCTATATCTGCCTCAGTTTTCCTTCTGCTCTCACATCCCCCAGCCCGGGGCTCTTCAGCTGCTGCAATGCACCATCAGCCCCACAGTGCTTGTCTCCTTGCCAGGGCAGGGCCAGAAATGTAGACAGCGGTGACACGGAGTTGGTTTGGCCTCTCCCTTTCCTCATCTGTGCCAAACACAGCACTAAAACATCTCAGGATTTCTTAAAGCACCGTGTGAAAACTAAAAACGATAAGATCAGTTTAATATGATTCACTATAAAGAAGACATTAATTATCCGTTATGATTGGGAGAAATAAAAAATTCACATGTGTTGTTTACATGTTAGGAAGTAGATTTGTGCTTCTTATTGCAACATGAATCATGAAAAAGTCCTTCCTGGCCAGGTATGCATAAATTAAGAGAGATTTATCTCTAAAAAATTTTGGCAAGGTCACATCGCATGTGACTTGTAAATAACAGAATGGATGAAGCATGCTGTGTGTGTAATACGTCGGAAGGAAGGGCTGAGGTAAAATATCTGGGGCTTGAAAAAGCTAATAACTATTTGTGTATCGTTGATAGATCCAAGAGATGCCAAGCAGCAGGAGTCACTGAAAAGGAAGGGGTGCAGTCATTGTTATTTATACTGAGCCAAACACAATGGTATTTGGACATGCTTCCTACGTTAATGAACTCAAACTATTTCCAAGTTTGTGGAGTGAATCCTTTGCAACAGCTTGCAGTATAAAAACAAAACAAAAAATCCCAACTGAGTCCCAGCAACTCTGTAGCATGCTTGAATGTAGTCGTGTTTAAAGAGCTGTCGATCCTGCGAGCTTAGATGTGACCAGTTTGCGGGTTTACCAGGGTCACTGCTGAAATACTTTTCGCATGTGCCCATCCAATGCCCAAGTTTTCATTTACTGCGTGTTTTTTCTGCTTCATCTTCTCGTAGAGATGTGTGAAATACAGCAAATAGCTTTCCACTCAAGTCCAAATGGGATTACAGACTAGGGAAGGAAGCGTGCGTCCTGTATTCTGTTAATTTTCCACTCTGCAGAAACATTGAAGGGATTTTTGTTGTTTTTGTTGGGTTTTTCTTTGGTCAAGTTAGGAAAAAAAAAAAAAAAAAACCACAACACATTTGGCAGCTCCCTACAGTCAGGAAGGGAGAATGGTTATAGCAAATGCCTAATTGCCACTAGCTACTACTTTTAATTTTACTGCCATCTGGTATTTGTGAAGCTGCTTGTGAGTTCTGCAGGATGACTCACCGCGTGCAGCACACAGCTTAAAGGAAAACCCTTCGCAGGCTCGGACACCCTTCCGAGCCACTTAAGGTAACCTGTGAGGAACAAAAAAAGCGTAGTGGAGCTGTGAACAGCCAGCAGAGAGGTGGTTTTGTTTGGGAGAACCTCCCCGTTAAAGCAGAAGATGAATGTACAGGGAAGCTGGGCTGTGGATCTGAGCACCTCTGACATTAAGGGGTGTTGAAATCCAGCCGCAGCTCACACACAGCTCTGCTCAGACACAGCCAGGATTTGCTTCCTGAAGGCTCAGGCACACTCTGTTCAGAAGTTTTCAAACAAATAAGAATAAATACTGACGCAGGCCTGGAACATGTGCTGTAGGTTGCCAAGAAGAGTCTTGCTCGTTCATTTTATTTGCATATTAGTAGTGGGAATTTGTGCAAACCCTCTGCAATCCTCAGCTTCTCCGAGGGATATTCATCTGCCCCGTTTCAAGCGCTGAGAACACCAGGGAGACAAAAAGGAGCAATTCAATAAAAATGTCATCAAGCCGACCAAGATGAAACCGCCCATTTCATTTATAGATTTTAAAACGGTGCCGTCTCGCATGAATATGGCAAGAAGTCAAGTTTCTCTCATCTCTAAGTTATAACAATTTAACAAATAAGCCGTTGTCACTAGCGCAAGTTTGATCCACAAACTGACGGGATCCTTCGTGTCCGGGATGCAAGGCAAAGCTGGTGTTTTGTAATACCTGACAAAAAAAAAACCCCAAACCTATTATTTTCACGACATTAAAGACAACTACCTTTGGCATGTAATTGTTGCCTTGCACTCTGAAGGCAGCACTTGCGAGCCAGGGAATGTAACTCCCTAGTAATTGAGTGTAAATAGGCAGTGATGGAGCAAAGAGGGCATAAATTAAGGATGAATCAGATTCCTAAAGTCTATTTTAATAAATTAAAGGTACTAAGAACATCCGGAGTGAATAATTTAAGGTGCCGTGTCACTAAACGGCTGTACCAAATTCAAAGAATATGGAGGTAAATACAAAAAGCCACCCAAAAGACAAATTATTCAGACTTTACTAGGCAAGAGCAGAAGGGACAGAGGAGTTTTGGCAGCTTGGCTGAGGTCTTTGGAGGATCAAGAGTAAAAGGCCCCGCTATTTAACCACCAAACCATTCCCTTTTACTGGAAATACAGTTTTTAGACACCGTGTCAATGCTCTTATTAGCGGTTGTTGTTAACGGTAGCAAGATCAGACAAGCAGCATCAATTTCTATTTATCAGCGTGTGCTGGGTTGGGCTACTGGCACCCAGGTCTCAACATTTATCTGTCTCCTAACAGAGCCAGAGAAGAAGCTCAAACGAAATTCAACAACTAAGCCAGAAGAGAAGAATACTTGTCTACTCTTTTGTTAAAGATAAGCAATGTCTTGGTAGCCTACAGATATGTTATACGTATATTCCTGGACGGTATGAGAGCAGAGCAGGTTCAACAGGCCCTGAATGCCGGACTCAGAAAAAAACATTCATAATTTCTCTCTGTACAAACAACGTCCAAGCCTTTCCGTTCCTGACAAATTCCCCACCCCAGACACCTGCAGCTGCTCTACACAACCAAACTCCGGGACCCTGCTTTGTTTCACAACATCTCGTGGGGCTGAAAACTCAAAAGCTGGTGGAACCACACCAAATGCTGCTAAATCAAATGCGCTCTGCTCCCCGGGACGGGGTTGCTCAAAGCATGAAGTTTAACAGGAAAAAAACCTCAGTGATCTGAGCACCTGAGGATGAGAGGTGCCACCGAGACTCTCCCAGAAGTAATGCCGGGAAATCCCTCAGTTCAGGTCCTTAAAAATCGGACACAGATGGATCGCGTTCACCTACTTTAAGAAAGAGTTTATTCATGAGAGTAGTAGGAAGTGCTGGGAGGGAATATCGTTCTCCTGGAAGACCCGAAGGTTGCAGGAATTGTCAGAGGGAGGGTGTCAGGCTGTCCCTGCCCTGCCCGGAGCTTCGCCGGTCCCGGCAGCTGGCAGTCGGTGCCAGTTGGGATCAGAGCAGGGGAGCAGCCCCTCAGAAAAGGGCTCGCTCATCCCACTGTCGCTTCTTGGGAAATAAATGAGAATTAAGGGGAGAGGAGGGGGCTTGGCGGGGCCCGGGGGCTGCGGCAGGGAGCGGGGCCTGGCCAGTCGCTAGCACCGCGCCCTGCGAGCCCACCCAGGCCAACCGCTGCCCGGGCAGCCCCGGCTGGACACCCGGTGCCGGTAACACGGGCTTCACCTTTAAGAGCTTTAACCGTTTTACCTCAGAACGCGCGGTGAAGCCTCCGGGCCCGGTGGAGGCCGGTACAGCTCCCTAAGGGGAACAGCCTCCGCGCCCCACCGGGCACGGCAAACACCTCCGGGGCCTCCCCGACGCCGCTGTTGCCGTGGCAAGGCCCCCCGGGCCCGTTCCACCCCCCCCCCGCCCCGCCGCCGCCGCTCACCTGCCGCCTCATAGCCAGCACGCCGGCCCTCCGCGACACCGGCACCGGCCGGTTGCTGCGCGCTGCCGTAAAGCTGCGAGCGCCCCGCGTCGTAACAACCCGCTCAGCGCGGGGTGTGCGCAGGCGCGGCAGGATTTGGGCGGTGGCAGCGGCGCCGGGAGGGGGCGTGGCCTGAGGGGGGCGGGCCGACCGGCGGGGCGGGGCGCGCGCCTGCCCCGCCCCCCGCCCCCCCCCCCCGGCAGCGCGCGGGCGGCGGAGGCGCGCGCGGGCAGTCGGGCAGCGCCCGGGCGGCGGCGGCGGGAGCGCCCGTTCCTCCCCCCGCCCCCCCCCCCCCCCGCCCCCTCAGCGGCGCCCCCCGGGATCCCCCTCAGCGGCGGCGGCGGGAGGGGGATGCGCCGCGCCCCGATACCCAGGTGAGCGGCGGCGGCGGCGGAGCGGGGCGGGGGCCGCCGGGTGTCCGTGTGTGAGGTGATGAGCGTCTGGGGCGCGGCGCCCCACCGGGGCCGGGGGCCGGGGGTCGCCGCGTCCCGCTCCGCTGAACCCGGTCGGCCCGGCGGCAGAACATCGCATCGCATCGCATCGCCCGGTGCCGCCGCGGGAGCCTTTTGTTCGGCGGAGGAGGGCGAGTCCCGCCGGGGCGGGGGGGGGTGTTTGGGGTGTGTGTGTGTGGGTGGGGGGGGTGTGTGTGTGTGGGGGCGTGGGGGGAGCCCCCCGCCTTCCCGCAACCGCTAAAGATGGCTGGGCCCACGCGAGCTTCGCCCCCACGCGTGACCCAGCCCTCTCCCGGGGGGGAAGCGGCGGGCGCAAGGTGCGGGACGGCTTCCCCGGCAGCCGGATGCTGCCCGCGGGCCCCGCGTGGGCTCCCCCCACGCGTGGGAATGCTAACGGCGGCAGCGGGGGGCTGCCGTTCCCACCCGTTTTTGAGGTGGGTTGGACAGGCAAGACATAAATCCAGCCTGGGGGGGGTGTGTGGGGTGTGCGTGTGTGTGCGCTTTTATCTCCCTTAGCGTTTCCAGTGTCACCAGCGGGCCCGTGGGCTGGAGGCTTCCCCACGCTACCCCCACCCGCGAGTGGGGGAACAGCCCCGACGCCGGGGCGTTGCGACGGGACCAGGTCGCGCTCGGCACCGTCGCCTTTGGCAGAGCTGCAGCCCCGTTACGCTGCCGTCCGAGAGCGGCGTGAATGATTCCCACCCCGTCCGAACGAGATATTTCTGGTTTTTAACGCGGCACTCTGCTCCATGGCAGCTTGCTCTCCCTGCACACCGGACATTTACGGGAGCGCTGCTCCTCTGAATGTTAAAATAGTCGATATTTCTTTCTGGAATTTTCCTAAATGTAGCTAAAACTGCCTTTGCTTTATGCCTCCCCCCCCCCCCCCCCCCGAAAAAATCCTCCAGCGTGACTCGCGGTAGGACCTGCTGTAAGTTCAGAGCGGGGCGTTCTGCTGCCCTTCTGCTTCTAGATCCTCCTCCGTTTACGTTTTCATATCCTGAAATCAAGCTGAGATTAATAAAGTCGGGAGCGTGAGCTCAGCAGAAATCATGGCTTTCACATCCCTCGCTGCAGCGCGCGTTACCCTGCCCATCGGCGTACAACAAAATAATCACGTAGCGGCAGAGGAAGGAGGAGAGCTCTGCTACGGGGAGAAAAAAACAGCCTGGCGTTTTGCTAAATCCATAACGAAGCGCTTTAATAAATTGCTTCATAAATAGATTGTTATTTGGAGGAATGGGTTTCTGGCCAGGCTCGAGCATTTTCCTGACTCTTTTCCCAGGGAAATGACAGGGGACCGTCGTCCTCTCGTCTCTCCTGACGGGATGTGTGTGGACGTGGTGGTGATGGGCTGTGAATGCTTAAGTGCGACCTTACTGAGCTGAGCTTAACCACAGGCGCCGGCAGACTCCGGTTGGGGTCAGAGAGGCTGCGTTATCGCTGAAGAGCATCTTCTCTTCAGCCCGTTGTCCTGGACTCACATGATATAGACAATTTCCCCTGTATCTTTGAGTAATCTCACCCATTTCAGTGACTCTTCTCATTTTTCAAAATTTTAAAAAATTAAATTAAGAGGATTTTCATTGCATTTTTCCCTTACAAAGGCTCTCCCAGGCTTTGCTGTAGCTCCTGGCTGGGATTTTTCATCCCCGAGAGTGTTTCGGAAGCTGTCCATCTGGCTGCTGATGGTAGGGAAGGTAATTCTGGCACACGACTAATAAGCTTTTGTTTCCTGGGCTATCAGTGATGATGCAACTTTTTATTTATTTATTTATTTATTTATTGCAATCAGTATATAAATTAGGATGGCTTTAGAGGTGTTTCATCTTTATTGAAAGGCCGATGGTCCATCAGTGGTGCTTCTGAAACATCTGGGAAAAGCTTTACTTGAATTCCCATTTCTCTTTTCTTTTTCAAAGAAGTATTAAAATGTGGACTCAGTTTTGCAGAGCGTGCCTCTCAGACTTGTTTCTTCTGTGCATCCACAGCTCCAGTTATGATTTATAAAGTTCACATTTTTACCTTTTTTTTTTTTTTGGTGTGTGTGTGTGTGTGTGTAAGGTGCATTTTAAGACTTAAAGGTATTGAATGGCTGATGTGACATCTGCTGTTGCAGTATCACAAACACCAGCACTTGTATACGCCATCTAAAACTCCAGCTAGCAAACCCTCGGGATCCTGCGCTAGGAAAATCTAACCATCTAAATGTTTTATGCCTAAATTGTTTTTATCTAGGTTGTTCATGGTGATTTTAGTAAGCGTTCATCATGTTTGCAAGAAAACCTTTGAGAATGTGAAGCATGCGAGGTCGGGCACTTGGGAAATGTGAAACCTGAGGTTACCTGCGCAGCCTTAATTTAGCTCGTTTCGAGGTAGGGCTGTACTAGAAATCCTAATCACGTATGTGCACCACTTGATTTCTGGAAGGACGGTATCCAGCCCTGGATGGAAAACCAGATTACTCCTCCGCATCGCCCACAAGTCAACAGGGGGAGTACCGGGAGCACTGGGACTCCCCTGGTCCCTCCACTGGTTTTCAGCTTGGTACCACGGGGCAGCTGGTGAAGAAGACTGAGGTTCACCCTTACAGCCTTGGGACCAAGCATGCCACGTAGTCCTGAAGCCTTAAATACCTCAAGGCGAGCAAAAGTGCAAGCGAGTGTGCTCTGAGAGTTTCTAAAGCCATTTGAGGTGGCTGGTTTCGGTGGGCACAGCACGGCCATTTTGTCCCAAATTCTAGTTCCAAACTGTGCAGTTTTTGAATGTAATTCCTTTAAAAATACATTTATTAGGGAGAAAACAAGGTCATTGAGCTGCTTGAAGCGTCTTAGCTCATCCAACTTGATTTCAGAAATTCCTCTGTCTCATCGGTTTATAAATAAAATGGGATTGCAGCCCCACTTGCACGCGAAATACTCAAAGTATGAAGGCAGACCGAGCACCCGAGAAGAGCTGCTGTCTGTGGGAAGGAACTACATTGGTTTTAGACGGTTTGTTTTGTTGTTGTGTTCCCTGAGGTTGAAGGCAAGTTCGTTACGTAGTGTGCGAAGCTCCTGGCCCGGTCCTGGAGTCTGGCTCCCCAAGGCGGGCTGGGTGCAGGTTTCAGCTTTAGGAGACAGGCCTTTTTTTTTTTTTTTTTGTGTTGAGGTTAAAAAGAGCGTCTTATTTTCTCCGGTTTGGGTCCTGCGTGCCTACATTTGCTCAACTTCCTCTTGAGTGAACGGGATTTCTCTCTTCTCTAAAAAGTAAACACGAGCATAAATATTTAAAGGATCGCTGCTGAAGTTTGCAAATTCAAGACTTTCTCTAGCATTCCTTTGGACAAAAGCAGTATCGTTGGAGATTTCAGTTGTGTCTGGGTAGTTCCCTGCTCGGGGACTGTTTGGGCTTCCTGCTGCAAAAATATTACACTGTGTTTTCAGGTTAGGTGCCCGGGATTATCACAAAGTTTAGGCAGTGGGCTTCGTATTGAATTGTAAGGATGAAATGCTGATGACGGGATGTCTATAGATCATCAGAAATTAGATTATTTTTATGGTCCTTCATTTTTCTTTTACACAGACCAAATTTTTCCATAGGCTTTTGGGAATATGCATGAAGGCACAGGTGTTCAGGGTTGAGACTATATAAATCAAACACATGAAACTCTTGCCAGATAATGGATAATAACAGGAAAAAAGGAAATGGAATAGTCTTTGTTTTCTCTATGTGACTCTCTAATACTACATCTTGCTACCATGTTTAGTAGGTCGAACGCCATGTACATCTCACTCCTGTGATTGCATCAATGTCTTAACTCCTCTATCTTGGAATTGAATGTTTAAAAGCAAACTCAACAAACCATATGACCTCAGAAATGATCAAAATTCAGGAGGGAAGCACACTGAACAGTAATTTTTAGAATTAAACTGATTTTTGTATCTGTTATTAAAATATTACCAAGATTCACAGCTCTGCTAGTCATCGTGGTAGCATTTTTTTTTTTTCTGTGGGGACAATCCTGTAACAGGTACCTATGGAAAAGTCTTAAAGGTGAAGTGAGAGCTGTATGTCTTTGCCACAAATGCTTTTCATTTTTAACAAAACCCCCATGATTTTAATGCTACCCAGTTGTATAGTGCTGCTTCTAGGTTATTTTTTTTTCTTTCCATCGCTTTCCTCCCACGGAGGACTGTAGGATCGCTTAGGTCATAAGGGAACTTCAGGAGGTCTCTTGGTCCAAAATCCTGCTCCCAGCAGGGTCAGCTGCAGGGTCAGACCGGGTTTCTCATGGGTTTAGGTGTCTCGCGTCAGTCGTCTTCCACCTGTGGTTTTCAGGCTGCAAGAAGAGGAGGGAAGGGGACCGGTTTGAGCTGCATCGGGTGGAAAGTGTCCACGGAGAATGAGATCATACGTGATCCACGGCAGTCCTTGTTCATGGAGCACAGTCTTCCACTCACAAACGTGTTAAACTGCCACTTTAGGCTGCATTTCCCTGATTTCACTAAGCTGATTTAGTAGCAGGATCTGACCTGGCTGCAGTTAATCTTGGGCGGGGAAAGGGGATAGTCCTTGCCTGGGTTGATTTGCTGATAATCAGCCAAAGCTGTCAAGTGGCCAGCTCTGTGCTGTTT